ATTTTCAAGAATTGTCTGGTTGGGAACCAATAACATTGCAAACTGAACAACTGATCAGCTGATATCATTTATAAATTATCTGAGTTTATATAACTTTAATGACGGAAATGAAGTGACATCGGTTAATCATAACAAATAAACGGCAATATATCATGTGATTCAAAACATCGCATTTTTATACAAGTTTCGAAGTTTCGCTGTGTCCTTCGCAGTCAGATGTTGTGTCCCACTCACAGCTTTACATCTGAATGTTTCCTAAACTATATGATAGCAAACTATACCAAGAATTCAAATCAGGTCAGTGATGTTGTTCAGCTCCTCTACAGTCGATAGTTCTTCTGTTACGACATAAAGTACTTTAAAATGGTCACTGAATACAATGACTGAATAGTTGAGAACCAACAGAAACATTCCCATCAGAACGAGATCAAATTTCTATTTCGCTAAAATCAAGCCAAACCACAAATGCTCTTAGTGGATATACGAGGAGTAATAATCAGCAATTCCATCATTCTTAATTCTTAAGTTTAGCCACACACAACCTTATGAAGTTGCGTCATCATAAAACAAGAAAATGGGACAATATATCATATTCTTTCCGGTGTCAAATAATACTACATAAAATCAGAACATGGCAACATAAATACCGGATGAAAGTCAAAATATAAGAAAACAGAAGGAAAACTCAAGAAATACGACCATATAACTTAAGAGGCCTTCTAAAAATTATTTTCTTACACTACGTTTTATATAAGCACATAATTAAAGTAGCCAACTGTACTTTTTCAGTCTTTAACAGTTTTGTTCTACATTTACTGCAATATTTTCGTGTTACAGCTCAACCACACTTCTTTTATGTTCACATAGCGAAAAATTATATACACATCTATGAATTAATACATTGTGTTGCCCCAAAGACCACTCTGAAAATTAGGTCTGATACCTAGAAACCTTGATGATTATTGAATACTTTATTACTCGCTGTTATGCCTAAAAACCTCACTGCAAATACTACACTACCGCCTCAGTAAAATACACATTTGCAAACGATAATTACCGGAAAATTTTTCTGTCTTCTCGGTTTATGTTACGGGTTTGTTAGATCGTCCGCCTAAACAATATTTACTTTGACCATTCACCACAACGACTCACTTTAATTCGTGTCAGTTTGTTTTTACTTGACAAAAAAGCAATGAAAATCGTACTTTGTTTATAAAAATTAGTGCTGTTAATTATTTTTCATTTTAAAGGGGTTGAGCCAGAAGGATAAAGGGCTTTAGCTATCCAACATTTGCCGAAGTGACAAATTGTAAATATGCACTAGCCCCACAAAATATTTATGCTTATCTTCGTTTCGAATTAATTAGTTAACTGCAAAAGGTTCGGATCCGTCACAAACGTAAATCTTATGAATTACTTGAGTTATCTAAAAAAGTTATGAGGAACACGCCATCAGAAACCGTAACGACTAGCTGTACGTTTTAATAGAAAAGTGGATCCCCTACAGCTAACACAAGGAAAGTTGCTTATTATACCCTATATATTTACCGATAATTTGTTGGTCTCCGCAATTTCGGAACTGACAGGCAATAAAGAGTGAAATTGGGAGACTGTCTTCCGTAACACGTTTTTAGTTGATTGGCGACCTCAGCGGATTTGTAAAAGACATGTTTAACATTAGAATTAGATTGATTCATGACGGAACTCGAGCTAACTGTGAAAGCTGAATGTGCAGTGAACAATAACTGCAAAGCAGACAATTTGTACCGTATATTGTGAAACAGCGTGATTGGAGCAACTTCTGCTTCATACATGACAAAAAATAATAGATAAATAGTGATAGTGTTGAACTACGGTCTACTTCGGTAGCAGTAGTAGTATTGCTAAAATAATAGGCCTAACCCCAATATGGTAGACAAACTATGGTGTGACTACTTAATTTATCAGGAAACTACGAAACTCTGAAAACTGTTGGGAAGTGAAGTTGTCGGGGTATTCATTGACGCTACAAGAACAAAAGTTCTGGGCCAATACTATGAACTTAACATGATGTGATGGCATAATTTATATCATAATATGTTAAAGTGACACTATTTTCTACCGCGATTTGGGATATCCTGGAAATCAGGAGTACTCATTATTAAGAACATGTGAAGCTCAGAAAAAATCTTACAAACACAAACATGTATTTAACGTAAAGAAGAGTGAGATGCATTTTGTGTGACCCATTGTACACAGAAGAGTCAGACCATCTACTGAGTCTAGATCGTCTAACTGCATCCTAGATGTCCATTGCATCCCGCGCTTCCCTTCAGACCTTGACGTCTTCATGATCCAGTCGATCACCAAGAGAGAGAGGAAGGTTGAGAGTAAGCAACCTTGCCTGACACCGGTCTTCACTTCGAACGACTTTGTCAACTGTCCTGCATGCACGATTTTGCAGTTTAATCCATCATATGAATTCTGCATGATATTGACTATCTTCTGAGGCACGCCGTAGTGTCGAAGAAGCTTTCATAGTGTTGTCCTGTCCAAGCTATCAAATGCCTTTTCGTAGTCAATGAAGTTGATGTAGAGTGATGAATTCCATTCAATTGATTGTTCCACAATGATTCGTAGTTTTGTGATTTGGTCTGTAAACGATCCATCCTCACGGAATCCTGCCTGTTGGTCTCGAAGTTGGGGGTCTACGGAGTCCTCCATTCTGTTTAACAATGCCCTGTCGAAGACTTTTCCTGGTATTGAGAGAAGAGTGATGCCCCTGTAGTTATCACACTTGCTGAGATCGCCTTTCTTCGGTATTTCGATCAGAAATCCTTCACTCCAGTTTCTTGGTACATGTTCCTCATTCCAAATCTTATTGAAGAGAATGTGGAGTATCCTTGCAGTTACCACTACGTCTGCTTTCAGTGCCTTTGCTGGGATGTTGTCCGGCCCTGCTGCTTTGCCACTCTTGATTCGTCTGATGGCCATGCTGATTTCTTCAATTGTTGGTGGGCCAACATTGATTGGGAGGTCCGTGGGTGCTACTTCGATATTGGGTGGGTTCAGTGGAGCTGGTCAATTCAAGAGTTCTTTGTAATGCTCAACCCACCTGTTTCGTTGTTCCTCACTGTTGGTGATTACCTCGCCCTCCTTGCTTTTCACTGGTCGTTCTGGTTTACGATCATTCCCAGCAAGTTTGTTTGTTGTGCCATACAATTGTCTCATGTTTCCTTCTGTTGCAGCCTTTTCCGCCGTCATTACCAAATCCTCCACATATTTGTGTTTGTCGGTTCTGATGCTCCTCTTCACTTGTTTATTTACTTCTGTATATTCAGCTTGTGCCTTGGCTTCTTCTGCTCTTGTTCGACTGGTATTGATTGCTGCCTTCTTGATCCTCCTTTCTTGAATCGTATCTAGTGTATCAACAGTGATCCATTCCTTGTGATGGTGCTTCTTATGGCCCAGGACCTCATGACATGTTGGAGTGATTGCTTCTTTTATCCCCTTCCAGTTGCTCTCCATAGTAGTTTCCTCTACATTGAGTAGATCACAAAATGCCTGGAACCTATTGCTGAGAGCTATCTTGAATTTGTTGAATTTATCAGTCTCCTGAAGAAAGGCCGTGTTGAACGCTTGTGATGTTGTTCGCCCCATTGTCCAGTGTTTCTTGAGTTTCGATTTCATCTTGGCGACAAGTAAGTGATGATCTGATGCTATATCAGCTCCTCTCTTGATTCTTACATCCTCCATTGTCCTCTTGAACTTTTTGTTGATACAGATATGGTCGATTTGGTTCTGTGTAATGTGATCCAGTGAAGTCCATTTACTTTTGTGTATGCGTTTGTGTGGGAATACAGTGCCGCCTATGACCAGTTCATTGAGGGCATATAGGTGTGCAAAGGTTTTCGTTCCTTTCTCTCAGTCCGTGCCGTCTCATGATGTCTTCACATCCGGTATTGTCCATTCCAACCTTGGCATTTAAATCTCCCATCAGAATGGTCAGGTCCTTTGTTGGGCACTTCTCAACGATTGACTGTAGCCTATCGTAGAATTTATCTGATAGGCGCATAGCATTGGATGATGATCATTGAAATGCCCTCTTTCTTTGTTTTGAAGGAAGCTCTGATGTTCCTTGGTCTATGAGATTCCCATCCTATAAGTGCATTTTGTGCTTGTTTGGACAGCATCAATGCAACTCTTTGTGTATGTGGTGCATTTTCTTCTTCATGGCCGTAGTATAACAGAAGCTCTCCTGAAGTTAGTCGTTGTTGTCCAACTTGCGTCCAATGTATTTCACTGAACCCAAGCACCTCCAGGCTGTATCTCCTCATTTCTGCAGCAATTTGGAAGACTCTCCTAAGTCCCCACATTGAACGAGTATTCCATGTACTCAAATAAATGGCTACTCTGTTTGTCAGAAGGGGCATCAGCCTCGTGACTTCCGAAGGAACTCGGCTTCATAGTTCTTCGAAATGAAGACCTTCTAACTCCCAGGGCAGAGTTTATGTGTTCTGAATAAATTTTTCTGGTTATTTTTTTCAGCGTGTTAGTTTTCTACGGGTTAGGGTCACTAACCCCATGCCCAACCCTCCTTTTTTATTAGGGCTTAGGACCGACAGTAGCTCCCATAGGGAATCCAGGCGGAGTTATAGGTCCAGATATATATCAACAAAATTCCTAGTTAATATAGTGTCTGTATAAAGTGGTTGAAATTAAGAAAAGTTACATCAAATGAAATAAAGTCAACCGTCTACATCTCCACAGGTCTGATTCCGTCGTGAGAGTTGATCAATCTCGCTGAAGAAGCGCCATCAAAATACCCTTAACTGTACTAAGCAAAAAGCTACAATATTGCATTGATTGCCGTTTAATTTCCATAGTGTATCCAAATAATAAAGTTTAAGAGCTAAGACATTAACTGTTCTTTAATTGTTGTGTGGATAGTGTTTATATACCTTAAATTTATAATCGTTGTAGTAGCGCAATTTCAACTACTATATACGTACGTGTTTGAAATGGATAGGGTTTCGACTCTGGCTGAGCCTCTGGTTCGTTTTTCTAAGGATTCTGTACATTTTATTAATCGATGTACAAAACCAGATCGTAAAGGTGAGCATTAATTTTCGAAAATTTCATTCATAGAATTTAAAAAAAACGCTATTGCTACTGCAATCGGATTTTTGGCCATGGGCGTACTCGGATTTATTATCAAATTAATTTTCGTCCCTATTAACAGCATCATTGTTGGAAACTAACGATAATTCTTTCTTAAAATGTAATTTATGGGCTGGCATTTGTAATCTACAAACACTGAACATAATATACCATTTTGTTTTATTGATTCGTTTTAAGTACTGCTCAGTTACCATTATCTACTGTTATTAGTTTGATCAATACTTCTTAATTTATAGGCTGAGCAATTTGTGTGAGTAAAGCACATCTGAAAATGAAACAGTGATGTTTTACCATCCTCGAAACCATTTATTTTTGGACATAACATTTGGAAATCCCTTGGTGAACTCCTTGTATTCTTGTCTGCCCCTTTATTATGAGTTGTGTTGGTGCTGCTTTAACGACTTTGGAAGATCAAGTCGAAAATGCTACTCAATGTAATCCCTACCCAGGCTGTGCTACTCTGTAACTCAGTTGCGAAGTAATTTGTTGGCGTGACTGTACTGAATTTCTCAGATGTCCACATCTTGTTTTGTGGAACATAACTTGAATGTTTAGTTTAAGCTGTCAGGAATCTACGGAATGACTTCAAAGATTATAAAAGTCACGTCGATTACCCCGCTTGGTCTAGTTTTTTTGAATCCCATTTTTTTTAACAATATCGTTTAGGACAAACGTAAGTAAAATGTTGCATCGAAGTCTCTCGGCTCAAACACAGATATCTGGTCGTTCAGCATGACTCGGTAATGCACAGCATAGAACATCACGCGTCTGTTACTCGATTGGTTTACTTCACTTTAAATTTAAGAAGTAAATTAAGCTATATGTAACGCATGGAAAAGGAACAAATAGCGTCAATGATGGTGATAACTAAAGTTCGATTAAGTATTACGAAATAGCTGGTGAAATAGGGTAACGAAGGTTGGAACATTGACATCAAGATGTAAAGAATTCAAGTATAGTCGTTTCTCTGACTACTTAAATTCATATCATCCAGTGTCGAGTTACTAATTACTCAGACTCCAAATAAAAGACGTTTCTCTAATTAGTGGGTCACAAGCTAGATAAACATTTTATTCATATACGCCTGAGCTCTGCAGGTTTTTGGCGGTCGCCTGATGGCAATGTCTTTTGATGCGGAACTAGGCAACGAAGTTCGAACTCCTCAGTGACCAGTTAACATACTTTTTGTTCTTGTTTATTTTAAAACAAACATTGGTACAATGAGGCACCAAACAGGTACGCTCTACATAAATTATTTGATTTGTGTGGGGGTTGTCATACTGCTCGTGTGCCCAAACCTAGGCAGGCGATTTTCTTAGCGGACCACTCCTCTAAGTGGATCTCGAATCTCAGGGGCTGGTACTATGTCAAACCCGCATAGGTTATTCCAGCTTCCGAACAGACTAGTTTATTCATTCTTCCCGAGCCACATCTTTTCTTTGTCACTTATTCGCTTATTAACTCTGGTTGTCTTTATTTACGTGTGTGTTAATTACTCACTCTATTCATTGTCTGTAACTTATTTTTGCTTGATTATAAATATTGATTCACGGTTGATTAAATGGAGTTGGCCCTTTGTCTCCATCACTGCACGTTATCAAGTTTCATTTCGCTTCCTTCACTTCGTCTCACTGTCTGTTCAGATCAACGATTCGGCATCCGACAATGGTGGTCTTTCTTGACTTGAAAGCAGCATTTGACTCTTTAGACCGAGAGGTTCTGTAGCAGTGTCTGTCATTCAAAGGTGTACCTCAAAAGTACATAAACCTTGTGAAGGCTCTTTACTCGAACACTACTAGTCGAGTCAAAACTTATGGCGAACTGTCATATGATTTTTCAGCCTCAAGTGGTGTCCGGCAAGGCTGTCAACTATCTTCATTTCGGTTCAATTTCACCATAGACAACGTTCTCGTCGATTTAATTTTCGGGCATCGATCTTGTATCAGAAAGTCCACTTATCGACTTAAAATACGCAGTTGACATAGTCCTGTTTGGTGAAGATGCTGATAAAATGCAGTCTTTTCGTAGCACTGAGCAACAATGCCAGGATGCGTTCCTCCCCCTCTAGATGCAAGTTGTTGATTCAAGACTGGCTTGCGTCAACACGTGAACTAAGGATGGAAAGTGAATTAGTCGAACTTGTCGACAAATTCATTTATCTTGGAAGTCTGATCAGCCCTAATGGATTGGTGTCTGACGAAGTCTCAGTACGGATCCGAAAAGCTCGTTTGGCTTTCGCCAACTTACATCACCTATGGCAAAGGTGAGATATCCGCCTACCAATTAAGGGACGAGTTTACTGAGCGGCAATTCTTCCTGTCCTACGGCTGCGAAACGTGGCCATTAAGACTATAGGATGCTTGTAAGCTACCAGTACTCGATCACAGATGTCTTATAAATATTGCTCACATCTGCTGGGATCACCGGGTAAGTAAAAGTGGGATTAGACGCAGGGTATTCGGAAATGATGGTAAATCAGCTGATAATGTTGTAAATCTTCATCGACTGAGATGGTTGAGCCACTTGTTACGTATACCCAAACACCATTTACTACGACGCGCAATGCTAACCGGTGTTGGGGATAGTTGGAAGAAAGTTAGAGGGAGCAGCCAAACCGAAGTGACACCAGTCCATAAAGTAACTAACTTCTAGTCTGAGCCATGTTGGTAGATGCAGACTACTTGGTTGGGGTCCGCGTGACTACCGTAACCAATGGTTGGAGACTCTGGGTGACATGGTTCAGAATCGACCACAATGGCATCGGTGTATACACTCTTTGTCTTCCTTTAAACCGTGAGGTCAAAGTTACTTAATGTTTTTTTCTGCACTATATCCTTGTACACAATCTTTTATATGTTACTACCATTGAAGTAACTACTTCTATGAATGCGGTGTTCATCTTGTGCTAGTGGTGTGGGAACTTGGACCGATGCATACATATGCCTGGTCCTACCTTGTAGTTGACTGACTGACCATCGTAAGAAATATATATATATTATTATTAGCTTTATTCAATATTATATTTTCAGTACAATATAGAATTCTCAGCGCAAAGTATTTCAACAGGTTTCTGTTTCTTTCTTCCTGGTCGGTCCTGGCGATAAATATTGAGTGGTCGCCAGTTAGATGTTAACAGTTCAGTAAATAGATAACTTGTTGAAATATTTAGATGGCAGGAACAGGTAGCCCAGATGCTCAAGCAGGCCGCCTTACATGTGATTCAAAATCCAATCGCGTATTTGGCTTAGTTAAATCCGTTATTCAGTGACGCGATTTAGGTCGATGATTACGTACGAGGGTAGTCAGGATGTATATTTCAATAATAATCGGCGTACGACTTAAATGGAGTCAGATAAGGGCCATCAAACCATATCCACCAACCCGGTTAAAGCGCCCGGACATTCGCGTTTAGTCCTCTCATTTTAGTAAACAACACACGCGCTGGAAGAAGGGAGTAGTTGTATACGCGTGGCCATGTGAGAACATTTTGAGAGGAAAACCTAACTCTCCCCACTCTCGATCATACCAGGGCATCTGGAAGCATTATAAAGGCAGATATGTGAGAATCAACGCTTCACAGAACAGCTAAGAATATAATGCTGATTTTATTACGGGTATTCTAAAAGCGTAATTTCTAGAAGTTGCTTTTGTACAGAATATAGTTGACAGGTAATTCCTCTTCGATTGATATTAAAACTTGATAATACAGAAAAGATATTGGAAAAGAGTGAACCTCTAACCATTAGATTGTTTTTGGTTGGCATTAACATTTACAAAAAAACAGGCTAATCCTACAATTTCTCACGTTCGATATTAAGAATCAGTTGTGATATACTTTGAAATAGTATTACTAGTCGGAATTTTGTATTGATTATGTTAAATGACAGCTTAACGTTCTTTAAATTAGCATGTATTCCCGTTCCTTAAACATGAACATCTTTCTATCTTTTATTTTTCGAGTCCATTCATTCTCTTTTAGAGTGTATTGTCTATTTAACGTTTTTCCCTATCATTTAAAATACTATTCTTTCAATTTCTTTCGAATCCCCATCCTATTGATTTTTCATTGTATTGTAAGGTGATGACAACTTAATACGACGAAATTCTTCTATAGAACCTAAGTTATTTTACAATTAGTTACAATTTAACATCATTTTATGAGATTGGTCTTTAAATGTAATCTAAGTGTCAAGTATAGTTATTTCAGTATAAATTCTGTAAATTGAATACTACTTCATTTCAAGATCCACTCATACTGAAAACGTTCTAAACCAGATATCATAAACATGTTCAAATTTTGTTGGTTAAAATGACTGATCGAAATAAACAATATTGTGATTAAACATATTTGAATATTATGTATATATATATATATATAACATTTATTGTCACTTGGAGTTCCTCCAGGGGCTACTGCCGGTCCCAAGCCCGGATAAAGGAAGAGGGCTGAGTATAGGGTTAGCGACCCCATCCCGTAGAAAAACGTCAACCAAAAAAATATTCAACATTTATTTATGGAAATGCATCTTGTTTATAAAATATCAACAGTAAAACGTTTTGAAGGTAAACTTTTAAAACCAAAATGTTCACGTAATATGTGAAATGATCTGGACACTTCATTTCGTTTCACATATTCATTGACTGAGTTTAATGCGGCTGCCTAAAATAAATTTTAAAAAAATATTAAACGTATATTCATGTAAATATATAACCATTTAAACAGACTTACTTCTTTAATCTTATAAGATTAGAGGTATAAAAGAAAGTTAAGAGCAACCGAACCATTAACTATTATAGGTATCAATGTCAAGGTTGAACTTGATAGTTTCAAATAAATTGAACATTAGATAGAAAGTTAATAAATATATTTTTCAATAGTTGTAATCATGAATCAATTGAAGCTAGATCACCATAGAAAACCTGGAAGCACTAGGCGGCCATTTCGTCCTATTATGAGACTCCTCAGCAGTGCACATCTACGATCCCCACTAGCAAGATTTGAACCCAGGATCTATCAGTCTCGCACACGAACGCTTAAACTCTAGACCCCTGAGCCGGCCGGTATCCAATGGTGTGAATGTCTAACTTTAACTAATCCACGAAATCGATCGACACATCCACCATTGTTTTCAATGAGTTACCATCTCACGACAGACTCGGTTGAACTCCACTGATCACTATTTCTCACTAGAACTCTAGGGCAATACCTCTTGAAGCCAGTAACTAGTGAGCATATGTTGATTAGTATCAGAAGGGATTTTGTGGAGATTGTAGTGATTTAAACAGTTGAGATGATAAGTCAATTGAAGCTAGAACACCATTGATTACAATGGTGGATGTGTTACTCAATTTGGTGGATTAGTTGAAGTTAGACATTAACACCGTTGGATGCCGGCCGGCTCAGTGATCTAGTGGTTAGGCGCTCGCGCGCGAGAACGATAGGTCCTCGGTTCGAACATCACGAGGCGGGGTCGTGAATGCCCACTGCTGAGGAGTCGTATAATAGGACGAAATGGCCGTCAAAGAATGCTCCCAGGTTTTCCATGGTGGTCTAGCTTCAACTGACTCACGATCTCAACGATTGAAATATATTTTTGTTATATCCCAATGAATAGGAAAATTATCCTGATGTTTCGTGACCTGATGTGAACCGCTTCTTCACAGTACCTGGCTTACATTAAATCACGAAGCATCAGAATAATTTTTCTACTCATTGGGATATAACAAAAATATATATTCATCATTAACTTTTAGTCTGAGGTGTGTTACTAGGCATGGACTACCTGGTTGGAGTATGTGCAATAATCGTGATCAATAGTTGGAGATTATAGTTAATATAGTTCATAATCCTAAATTCCGATACCTTTTATTCAATGAATCCATCCTCTCCGAACTTTAATCTCCAATGTTTAGCGTTTTCGAATATCGGTAATACTGTTATTTTTTCTACTCGTTAATCATTCATCTCGCTGTGCCGATATATATGTACCAGTTTAAACTGATGCTTATTTGTTCATGGCTCTACGTTCATTACAACTGACTGACTTTCTACCTACAAACTTACTGTATTAAGCAAGTCAAAATTAAGTTTTTCAGTCAAAGGCTCAAAAAGAAAAATTGTCTCCTTAGGTATCGGGGTTGTTTAGGGCAGTACCAGAATTTTCACACTATCTATGACGACAGGTTTGGGGTTAAGTAGGTCTAGGAATTATGTCAAAGATAGTTGCCTCGCAAATTTAGTGTGATTTATGACCCAGTGCATAAACACCTTCATGAAGACAACTCCCTTAGTAGTCATCGAGAATTTACTAAAGTTTACTATAAATAACATGACAATGAAGGAAGGCGTGTTATTAGGTTTCACAGACATACTTAAGAACAAGAAGCCATTAACTTAAATAATGAAACTACTCCACAGCATAAAAATAGACAGCACAGTAGTCAGTGGGTATTAGCACAACACCCTATACAATCTATATTATTTGTTATTTTAACACATAGATATTGGTACAAGGAGGCACCAAATACATACGCGCCACACAAATCTCATTCGATATGTGTGAGGGCTGTGATACTGCCTGGGTGCCCAAACCGAAGCAGGTGATTTTCTTAGGGGACTACTCCCCGAGCCCTCGACAAGGCAGTGGAGCAACATCAAGAGATGCAGTCCCATGGTAGCCGGTGACCAACGATTGGTTCATACGCCATTTGTTCCCGCAGGATACTGGAGCCCATGTGCACCATTGGTTTGGAATCCGCTTAAAGCGCCGGAAATTCGCTTTCCGTCCTCTCATTTTCTTAAACAACACCCCCGCCACGCGAAGGCAGTGAGTAGGACTTCCCTGGAAGAGGCTATATACGCGTGACCATGTGAGAGCATTTCGAGAGGGAGAGCGGACTCTCCCCACTCTCGGCCGTACCAGAGAATATTGTTAAGAACGAATACCTAAAAACGATGTTTCTATACTGACACTAGTCGCTTTAAACACTACTAATGAGTTACAATAAACCTTTTGGCAAAATAAAAAAACAAATGATTCGTGGGTTAGTCTTGTGATTTTTGTGTATCTCTCTACGAAGTGAATTTTTCGTACTGCAAACATCATCACGTTGTATTGAATCAATGTTAATAATGATCAAAAATTGAATGTCTATCTATCATTAAAGTACGAGAGTAAATATTGATGGGATTAATCTTAATAATCCACGATAAACGATTTCTTGTTAGAGTGTAGTTAAAACACTTGGATTTGAACTATTAAATTGCAGATATGAACTATGCTATTTAAACGGCGGCCTGCTTGATCATCTGGGCTACCTGTTCCTGTCATCGAGATATTTCAACAAGTTATCTATTTTTGTTTGTTTTAATATATCATTATGTTTATTAATCGCACAACCTATTCTGCTGCGTTTCTGAAAAGTGTACAACCTTTCGTTGTCAAAGTTACAGAAAACTCAATAAGAGACAATATGGTTGCTGGCAATATACAACGAAAAGAATGTACATTATTCAGTTGTTCATTCACTGAAGTGTTAACATCTAACTAGCGATCACTCAATATTTATCGCCAGGACCGACCAAGAAGAAAGAAACGGAAACTTGTTGAAATACTTTGTGCTGAAAATTCTATATTGTACCAATAATATAATATTGAATAAAGCTAATAATAATAATAATAATAATAATAATAATAATGCTTCAGTTAATTATGCTTGGGTGGCTAGCTGGATAACGTTCTTAGTACTCACTTTTCACATAAAAGCAATGTAAGTAAATACCAAGTACATAACACCTACATTTGGTAGATAAGAGTCATATTAAATGAGAAATTAATTTTGACAAAATATCCCTATAATTTAATTAAACATACCATTAATACTAGAATATCAAGTATACGTTTTCTATCATCTAATTGTCGATAATAGTTGAGTGCTTTTAAGAGTTCTGACACATGCATTTGAATAACTACAAGTGAAAAAAAAGAAGAAAATAATTATGTCCAAGTTAGTAGATCGATTCAAGTGATAGAGAGGTGTGTGAGCGGTGACTAACAACACATGATTACTCACACTTCAGGAAGAGATTTCTTAACAAGGGATCAGATAGAAGGAAATCGATTTAGTAATGATGCTCTTGTGAACCTGGGAGGATCACCACAAAGACCTAGAGACAATTGTTTTAGAGCGGTTATATATAATTGGTTTTCATTATGTTAGCCTAAAATGTCTACCACTGGGATTAGGAGACCAAGGTGCATGGGGGGGGGGTTACTATCTTTAGCACCAATCTCTTTCAACTCTTGTCAGTCTGTGGGAAGGCAGGATTACTGAAAATGCTGGGTATCTGCGTGAAACATATTAGTGCGAGTAAAGTTAATAGTGAGATCTTCACTTGGACTTTAAATTTAATGCTTTTAGTTTTACCGGTATCCAACCGATGTGACTGGCATGGTGAAAGCACGAAAGACAAGTATTGTAAACTGTATAACTCTATCCGCCTGGTGTGTTAAGTTAACAGCTACGGTCAGTGAATGAATACGCGGGCATCGTATAATTGGTGAAAGTTTGTACACGTGCCAGTTTTTATATTACGTGAAATGTATTCGTATGTAGTCACTGTGTTTTACAATCTTCAAACAGTGATTCACAGCTACTAAAGTACGTTTTAGACAGACTCGGGAATTGTTATTTCTTTGGTTTGTAGCAAGTATATTATCATTTGAATGAAGACTTCACAATATTCAGCATAGGTTTTCTACTCAACCGACTGTGTATGTTAGGTATCGAAAGTAAAGTGTGATGAGGTTTTAGTAAATTAAATGGTTGCAACAAGTACTCTGTCATGCAGATATCTGTACCGTATTAACTTAAACTGAAGTGTTATACACGGATGGGCTAATGGGCAAGTATTCTTTTCGGTTAAGCTGATGTTAGGCCTATGGCATTTGTTTAATGGCTACGAGTCTAGTCGTATTAGAGACTAGAGTTGAAGCAGAATGAAAAAAAACATATATAATTCGATTGAGGATATAGCATGACTTAGTGAGTTCACACACTACAACAACTGTATTACGGACTGCAACTCGGTTCCCTGATATCAATAGGTTGATAAAATCTACGTTTTACTTAACTCAATGATAGGAGGCTGAAGCCAGGAAGACCTAGATTTTGTGTCAGTCAATACTGGTTAGCAGCCAATTGTGTTCACAATCTTGAAGGGATCGATGCTCCCTGTTGGATACTAACTCGAATTATCCAAGATTCCACTGATCTTTAAGACTAAATTATTTACACTAACTGATCCCTAGGTTGTTTATCTAACCCTTGGATCAATAAAATTCAACTGACTTTATAAACTGGGCAACGCTGATACTAGTTATTACTCAGTCTATAATGACCTAATAATGTTAAGAATTCCTTACTATCTGCCACTGACATCAAATCTAAATTGTAAACATTGAAAATGGAGGGAATATTATTATCATCATTGTGTCGAATAACTTTTCTATAGTTTATTTTATTTATTTAAACACATAAACATTGGTACAAGGAGGCACCGAATAGATACGCGCCACATAAATTATTCGATTTCTGTGGGGGTTGGGACACTGCCAGGCTACCAAAACCGAAGCAGGTGGTTTTCTTAGAGCGCGACATCCGGAATCTTCAACCTAAAGGTCTAATCCACAAGGCAGTGGAGCAACATCAAGAGACGCAGTCTCATGGTAGCCGTGTGGTGTGTGCTACTTGTATTGACATAAGTAGTATATGATGTTAGTCGTGAGCAGAAGGACTGGCAGCAGGGAGAGAAGAGGGTCGATTAGTAAAGAATGGAAACAGGATTCAATTAGTATGAAAATGAAAGAACAATGAATTCTGTGTCATTTTGAGACAATTGGTGGACATTTTGCAAATTAAGCATTTACTTTATGATTGTTAGATTTTATCAACAAGTCCTATAATTAGTGTTAAATACATCCGATTGTCCCCATTGGTGTTCGTTCACTACAGCCAGTGACCAACGGTTGATTCATATACCATTTGTTCCTTTCAGCATTCTAGAGCCCATGTACACCATAGGTTTGAAACCAGGTTTTTCCAACTCCCCTGGGTAGATCCTCCGTATCCAACAAGCCGGCTAAAGCGTCGGATATTCACTTTTTTCCTCTCAATTTCGTAAACAACAGTAATGCCGCGAGAAGGCAGTGAGCAGGACTTCCGTGGCAGTGGCCATTTCGAGAGTGAGAGCTGACTCTCCCCACTCTCAGCCATGTATCAGGCCATTTAGTTTACATAAAATAAATAACAGAATTAACAAATGTACATATCTATATATATATATATTTACTTACATGAATGATTATTCTCATTGATATCAATTAATAGTCGTGTACGACTCAAAAATACTTGACAACGATATTTTGTTAATTGATCTGTACGATGTAATATCTCTTCTAAACTATTATTCAATTCAAATATGACATTGGAATTTGTTTGTTTCAATCCATTAATCCATAGAGAGGTTGGATCAACATTAATATGATCAATTTTAGTCTTCTTGTTATCATTATGATCATTAGTAGGATTAGTATTCATCAGCATATTGTTATTCATGGATAAATGGATAGCACATTGTAATAATTTGATCATTTCTATACCTAAACTTAATCGATAATGTTTACATAATTTCAATGTGATATCAATCTCGTTGAAAGCATATACATAAAGCTTCAATGTAATCAACAATTCAATCTGGTCAAATGTAAGAGATTGTGATATAAAAGAACAAAAAAATAGTGTTTATGATTATTATTATAAAACATTAAAAAGACTAACTAATTGACTAAAAGAAATTGTAGTAACCATGATAATGCTCAAATTTTCCTGGATATTCTTATTCTCCACAGTATTGACAGGTGTTATATCTATCGAAGGGTCCAAGTCACCCGATTGAGATATGCGCGAAACCGAAGTTTCCAAAACAACGATTTGTCTACAATAGCAATTTTTTATTGAATAATACACTAAATTTAGTTACAAATCTCAACTTGTGAAGTGTCTGGGGCGTTTAAACCCGTCCTTCAAGTATGAAAATAAAAACGCTCCGTGTAACAGTAACATAAAGAATAATTACAACATACGATAGTACAAAGGACAGCTGATAGCTGTGTCTAAATTTGTTAACACTTTATGAACAATCGAAACCTGAACCAAGAGCAAAACAATATGGAAACTGTTACGTTTAAACAAATGCACAAAACTGTGGATAATCGCCACAGCAATTGAAGTACAGTGATTATAATGATAAATACAATGATAAGTACAATAAACGTTATAAGTATATTTAAACATTTCAGAATATTACACTACAACTTGCGTTACAACATAAGTGTGAAGATTGTTAGGAATACAACTGCTTACTGAATGTAGATAAATAGTATAAAACAATATACAAAGGAGTGGAAAAGGAGCGAGTAGGAACAATGTAAGGCAAACTTAACAACAGTATTAATTGTTATATTTTAGCTATAAGTAAAGTAAGGGCCACATTCCTACAATTGAAGAATATATGGAACTCAGAACAACTGTCTATCAACCAATATCAAAGTCAGAAATCTTCAGTACGAACATCAAGACAGTTCTACTGTATGGAGCTGAAATGTGGAGAACTACTACAACCATCATCAAGAAGATACGAGTATTTATAATAAATTGTCTACGCAAGATACTCAACATTCATTGACCAGATACCGTCAGCAACAGACTTGTGTGGGGGAGGACAAACTAACTTTCAGGTGAAGAAAAAATTAGGAAAAAACGATGGAGATGGATAGGACATACATTACGCAAATCATTAAACTGCATTACGAGGCAAGCGCTAACTTGGAATCCTGAAGGGAAGCTGTTAGGATAGTCGGAAAAATATACCAATAATTATTGTGTTAAGTCTATGGTGGCCTTGGACCTGAAATGTACATTTCCTATTGGTCGATGTTTACTTCACTTGTTAAATATTTTGTAAAGGTTGTTTCCTATTTTATGGTACGATGTGGTATGCTTGATTGGTATATAAACAAAGTATGTTTGGAATATAATGATTCATAACTCAGAGGCTGTGACTTGTGTTCTTGACTCAACTGGCTAGGACAGACAGCGAAGCAGGGCCACTGTCACAGAAGCGATCGATAAATACGCTGCTTATAAAAACCTGCAGTCACACGTTACAACAGAAGCAGAAAAGAGGAAGGCCAAAGAACACATTACGTCGAGAAATAGAAGTAGATCTGAAAAGGATGAATAACAACTGGAAAAGATTGCCCAGGATAGGGTTGGATGGCGAGTGCTGGTGGGCGGCCTATGCTTCTCCACGAGGAGTAACAGGCGTAAGTTATAAGCAACATAGAACTTGGTACATATACGAAACAGTTTAAGTGATCACATCGCTGTCATATTTACAGAGAATGAAGTACTTTCATATTCCTTTTGTAAAGTTTCTCTACAACAACATAAAAAAATATAAATTATTGAGTTAAGACCCAACCCATCTAGAAAGCATCGTGCTGGCTATGAGGAATGCAAGTTCTGGGTTCGACTTCACTCCATGGATCATGAAGTCAACTGTGCGAATTAAAAAAAGTTTCAAACTAGTATATAGGACAGCTACCCAGTTAACGTCAGTCAATAATGGAAATCATTAACTGGATACAGACTCGTGTATTTTGAACTCTGAACCACACTTTTATGTCTATGTAAAAGGTGATGATATTACATCCTACTGTTCAAATTGATCTAGGTGGAAACTTAATGTTTGGACGATAGATATTTAATAAATAAAGTATAAAATGTTCGATATGTAGAGAATAGCAAAGAGCTTAGGTAATAGAACTTCATAGGAATTAGACAGTAATATGAGAATTTACAATACATATGTTTCGTATCAAATATTACAACAATCGATTTCCGCTGTCTTGAAAGTTGATAGGAGATAAGAAGTGAATTCTTTCCAAATTGTTGAGTACTATGCTATATAGAAAGTGAGTTATATCAGATGTATGGAGTCTATTGTACTCTCTGACTAGCCAGTCTACTTTCTGGTTGATTGGTCGCATGTACCACGAAGTAACTGAACAGCCTTTTAGTGACTCTAGTTTGGTCGTATGAATGATTGTTATTGAAATGAACACATCGCCAATCCTCGTATATAATTATCAACTTAAATCGCGTTAGTGAATAACAGCACTAAACAACTCAAATACGACAATGATGCCCGAATACGTTTATTTCGTAAAATCGTTGATCTGAACAGAAAATCAGAGAATCGCAACGAATGAAGAAAAACGAAATGAAATGACGCGCGATGGAGAAGAAATATGAGCCAACTGCATTTAACCAAGCGTGAATCAATATTTATAGTCGAACAATAGTGAGTTACAGACATGTGACAAATAAGATAAGAAATGCACATGTATACGCTTAAGTAAAAAACAATCAAGGTTGATAAGCGAATAACTTACAAAGTCAAAAAATGTGACCCAAGAAGAACGAATAGATTAACCTGACCGGAAGCTAGAATAAACTGTGTGGGCTAGCATAGTACTACAGCCCAACTTATACGGATACTTCGTAAGGATATGAGATACAACCACTGCAAGGGAAGTCCTACTCACTGCTTTCTCCTGGCGGTGTTTTTTACAAAATTGAGAGAACGAAGAACGAATGTCTGGCGCTTTAACCGGTTTGGTGAACACGGAGAGTCCACCTACGGCAGTTGAAAAACCCTCATTCTAAACCAATAGTGCACTTGAGCTCCAGTATCCTGAGGGAACAAATTGTTAGTCAGCGGCTACCATGGGACTGCATCTCCTGACGTTTCTCCGCTGTCTCGTGGATCAGACATTTAGGTCGAAGGCTGGGGGTGTGGCCCCCTAAGAAAACCACTTGCTTCGGTTTGGGCACCCGGGCAGTATCCCATCCTTCGTAGAAATCGAATGATTTATGTGGCGCATATCTATTTGGTACCTTCTTGTAGCAATTGTTGTGTTTAAATAAATAATAAAGTGTATTGTCACAGATGAGGAAAAAACATGATTTGCCTTAAATGTTGTGACTTGAGTACGTGTATTTATTGAACAGATTATAAGTATAATCCATATTTATTATTAATGAGAACAAAACAATTATGAGTGATTGTATTGTATAAAAATATGTACTTACTAAAGCTAAATGTGCACGTAACTCAATCAATGCTAATTTACATAATCCACCAACAGGTGTATGCTCAGGAAATGTGGGCAATACTATATGGGAAAATGGTTTTGTTTGACTCCATAATTCATTTGAATGTAATAACTTATTATTATTATTCGCCGATTGTTGTAATAGACCACAGTCATGATCACGTCTTGCAATGACACTATCAATAATATAACGTAGAATATCATGTGTATAAGATACATTGCCACGTTTTTGTTCAACTTCAGCTTGCCTATTAGATTGAAATTAGAAAATACAATTATAAACTAACATTTTATGATACAATATCTATATGAAAGCTTATTTTATTTGTAAAAACAAACTGGCTAAGGGTGTGATTTCATAAACCTACATATGCACATACATAAGTCAGTCAGTGAGTAACAACGTAGAACTTCGTACGTACGTACATCATTTCGAATTGCCACACCACATTAGCACAGAGATGCAGTTGTCGACTCAAATCCCGTAGTGGTAGAGGTAGTAAGAGTATAAGCAGTAATCGAGAAGATTAGGGTTTGAAGATGTTATGCAGTGAAATAAATTTGGAAAGAGAAAAAAGAGACAAGAAGGAATCAGGAGATTAAAATTTGGGAGAACACAGAGAGTGTATGCACCTGCGCCATTGCAAACGATTTGGAGCCATATTATTCAAGGTCTCTAACCATCGGTTGCTATCAAAGGCTGGAAAAAACTAATGTCACCAATGTACTATCGATTCTAATTTTTATACTGTTGGGATATCCAGAAAAATATCCCAAAAATGATTCTGTTAAGTCTAATGCTATCCTTGAACGTGAAATGGTGACATTTTCCTATTGGTCAATATTTATGGTAGTCCTAACTGTATAAAAATGCATTTGTCTGTAAACTATCATTCCTATTCTTATTCTTCTCCTGATCCCATAAACAATTTCATCTACGGTTCGTGTTCTGATATATTGGAGATTGGGGTCGTACTGGGATATCTGAAGTTGGTCAGTTGGTAGAAATAAGAGTAGCCACCCGCGGCCCACAATATATACTGTTGTAACGTGTGGGACTGCAGGTTATGATATGCAGCGTTTTATTGATCGGTTCGGTGACAGTGACACGTAATACACGTAAGGGACGACCTAGTGCCCTGATTGGTCTCACTTCCCTGTCTAGCCCCAGCCAGTTGAGTCAAGAACACAGGTCACAGCCTCGGAGTTATGAATCATTGTATTTCAAACATACTCTATTTATATACCAAGCAAACAAACCACATCGTACCATAAAATAGGAAACAACATTTGTACAATATTTAACAAGTGAAGTAAACATCGACCAATAAGAAATGTACATTTAAGGTCCAAGGCCAACGTAGACTTAACACAATAATTATTGGTGTATTTTTCCGACTATCCTAACATATACTTTACTAGAATTAGCAAACTGAAAAAGGAAATGAATAAGATCTAGAAAAGTGAAGAAGGAATAATACAAACTACAGTGGAAATTGGAAGGCTCTCCCGGTGTCCCACATTGTACGAACATTCCATGTACCTAAATAAATAGTTGCTCTGAATGTCAGAAGGGGCATCGGCCTCGTAACTTCCGAAGGAATTCGGCTTTCATCATGAGGCGTCATAGTTCTTCTAAATGAAGACCTTCTGACTCGCAGGGCAGAGTTTAAAAGGTTTGAATAATTTTTTCTGGTTAGCATTTTTTTAACGAGTTAGTTTTCTACAGGATGGGGTCGCTAATCCCATGCCCAACCCTCCTCCTTTATCCGGGCTTGGGACCGGTAGTAGCCCCCGAAGGGACTCCAGGCGGAGTGGAAAACTAAACATAAATAGTATATTTCAAAAGGAACAAGTGAAAAGAGTTAAGAATGATATATAGCTAGAAAAATTTAAAGGACAACACAAAGAATGAGTGGAAACATGCGATTGTACAAACGATAATTTAGTGTCATGTTAACTACTATGTTTAAATATAAATTAAAGTTGTTTGCGTGTGTCCTCTAATCTAGAAATCTATTTATTTTAACACAATTTATACAAGTAGACTATGACTTCATGTATAACATCATTACATCAGTGAAGATACCGAATCGATCTCTGTGAAGAGTATTCTATTAATTAAATTTTCAACTGAGTCGAAATGATAGAAAGTGATTATCTAAGATAAAATATAACAAGAATACGATCCACAGACAATAATTAAATGAACCTAATATGTCTATCATTTGGTAGAGTAATCTTTATACTCCTAAAAATTAAGCTTCGATAAAATAAACTTATGGATGATCAATACCAGTTTACAGTAATGACATACTATTGATCGACTCTTGGTAATTTCCAGTCAGTCAGTCAGCTACAACGTAGGACCACGCACATATATACAACGGTCCAAGTTGCTATACCGCATTAGTACAGCAATATGAACACTGGATTCATAGACGTAGTTACTTCAATGGGGGAAATATATAGAAGAAAGATTGCATATAAAAGTATAATACAGGAAGAAAGAATTAGTTAGTAGAAAGAAAGATATGAAGTGATTTTAATCTCTTAGTTTAAGGGAGGAGAGGGAGTGTATAAACCGACGCCATTGTGACCGATTCTGAGCCATGTCACACAGTTTCCAACCATTGGTTACGGTAGTCACACGGACCCCAACCAAGTAGTCTGCATTTCCCAACACGTCTCAGACTAGAGGTTAGTGTCTTCAAGCACTGATGCCACGTTTTGGTTTGGCCGCCCCTAACTTTCTTCCAACCATCCCCAACACCGGTAACTTTAAATGATTTTAAGAAAGTAAAGCCAATTTTCCGTCAATCAAAATGAAAGTGATATAAATAAATAGTTTATTAATTAAAATTGGAGGAAGCTCGGGATTAAAATCTAGATTTTGAAAGTTAGGTCGAGTTAGGATTAATGGTTAGAAAATGAGTGAATGAAAGTTTTGTAAGTAATATATGAAAAGGTTATACAGTTAGTTGATTGATTTCATCTATTAGAAATTATTAAGTTGTCTTTGAAAATCCATAGATTATAGTCCTTTTTTCTCTAATCTTCCTATGTTTATCAATTTTAAGAGTCTCGATAAGTAAATATCAGTTCTAGTGAGAAGCCGTGACCAGTGGAGCTAATCCGTGTCGGGTAGAGACAGGTATCTACCTCATTAAAATGGAAGATAGTCACGCAATTTCGTGGATTGGTTGACGTTAGACATTAACACCATTGGATGCCGGCCGGCTCAGTGGTCCAATAGGTTAAGCGTTCGCGAGCGAGACTGAAGGCCCTGGGTTCGAATCCCGCGAGCAGGATCGTGGACGCTAAATATCAGTAAGTTTTACTTAGTTTTTAATCAAAAATGTAGCATCCGCTATCGTAGTAGTAAAATAATTATATTTTTTCGATCACATCTAACGTTGATATTGATACCTACATCCTCTATTGTATTTTCAATTTCGTGCAAACATTTGGTATTCTCTACCTTAAATTTGATTGGTTGGTTAGTAAATTATACTTTCATAATTTTTTTGGTTAGTCAATCACGTATTCTAACGAATAACCGAGCCCTCAGTAAATTTCAATTCATACTACGGTGTTAGTGTTTGTGATTCTCTTATTAGTTACTTCCTCTTTTGGACAGTCATTTTAACAAAGATACCTAAGATCATGTGTTTTCACTATATAAACAGGCCTGTTATATCATATTCTTGACTTCGTTTAGAAATATTAAAGGTCCCCTGAAAGTTCCAACTTCTTACTCTTTATCGTATATGGATCATAAATGTGGAAGTACTAGTTATCCAATCCATATAGTTAGTCTAAATCTTGTTTTGTATAATAGGAATCTCCCAATAGTTGGAGTGATCAAATAATTGTCAAACTATAACAACAATAAACAACCAAGCTCTAGTTTCCCAAAAATTTGTTTAAACCATATGTGTTATTCTGCATAAATATTTGTTTTGGTGGAAGTTAGTTGGGTATTTTTTTGCCGATGAACTGATATCAGCTGGAGAACTACCATTGAAAACCTATCGAAGTGCTGAATAGCTCCATTTCGTACTGATTTGGAAGGCGTTAGCCAAGTGGAAAAAAACTGTAGAGCATTTTTTTTTAAAAATTTTCAATGGTATTTGTCTAGTTGGTGTCAGTTTCTGTGACAAGAATTAACTACAATCAATCAACGATAAACTTACCTTATAGCAGCTTCCCATGGACAATAAAGTTTTATTGAATTAACCAAACGATCGCATTGAGCTAAATCATAACCAGATCTTAGATGTTGCTCCAGTTCAACTTCCATGCTAGCTTGTAGCAAAGGTGATTGGTTCGGAAAACGACACAATGTAGATCGACATATTTTAGATAATTTTAATGCTGTCTCAATTGATCCCTTTGAAGAGAGAAAGAGAGAGATAGGTCAAGTTCTCACAAAAGTTAGAAATACCTCTTAAATGGGAAATAAGTTTTACCTTACAAACTGATAAGGATGCAAAATCTCCATGTAAATCATTTTGTTACTTTTATTCCCGTAAATTTGAATTTCTGTTTTTCGCGCCTAACTTCTGTTCTTGATCTGATGTATCTACACTTTATATAGATGATATTGCTAAGAGTACAGCTGGGTTTAATGATGATTGTGAACCAACCTATTACTATTAAAATATTCAATACTAAAATATAGTTTACTACTCAGTTTAGTATTTGAATTCAATTACAGTAAGCCTTTGCTAAACAATTTATGTACTTTTTATACAAATACAAAGATTGAATATTATACCATTAATAAAGGAAAATGTATGAGTGGTCGCCGTAAAACTTAACATCAGTCCTTGAATTACTAATTAAAATCAAAGAGCGCTAGACCATCATTTTGTCCTATTTCATTATTTATTTATTTATTTGAACATATAAATATTGATACAAAGGGGCACCGAATACAAGTACGCCACACAAGTCACTTGATTTGCATGTGGGCTGTGATACTACAGACTGAGTGCTCAGACGGCAGTAGGTGGTTTTCTTAGGGGGACACAACCTGAGCCTTTCACCTAAAGGTCTGATTCACAAGGCAGTGGAGCAACATCAGGAGATGAAGTCCCATGGAAGCCGGTGACCAATAACTGGTTCATACGCCATTCGTTCTTTCAGGATCCTGGAGCATATATACACTATTGGTTTGGAATAACGGTTTTCCAACTCTCATAGGTGAACTCTCCGTGTCCACCAACCCGGTTAAAGTGCCGGATATTCGCTTTTTGTTCCCTCAATTTCGTAAACAACACCTCCGCCAGGAGAAAGCAGTGAATAGGACTTCCCTGGCAGTGGTTGTATGTACGTGGCCATGTGAGAGCATTTGGAGAGGGATAGCTGACTCTACCCACCATCGTCTGTAGCAGGGTATTTGGGGATTATTTCATAAGAAATCTATGAGTAATGTAAATTATCCCATGGTGACCTTTCAAGTTTTGTGGAGAAGACTAATTAAAAGTGGAAAAATCACAATCAAGGAATTAAATCAAAGGTGACTATAACATAATATGTAAAAAAAAGACGAACAAACTTACCATGGAATTAAACTCTTTTATAATGTTTGCAAAAGCATTAGCTAATACAGTATCGGAATAAGGACATGGTTCTAAACAATCTGCATTAATTATACACTGCATCAATACAGTGGCCATATTTCTGTTAATTCATTTTATGCATTAGACAAAGAAGAAAAAGTAAATGTGTTATGTCATCAAAAGAACTTGGTCGGTGAAAGATGAAACTGATAAAAAAAACGATACTCATGAAGATACTTAATGGTTCAAGACCCTGAGTGGAGGGTCATGGGGTTAAAAACACTACTGACGAACTTGAAACTAAAACTGAATGAACTCTATGATGTTTTATAGTTTTTCAAATGATCTCAGTTCATAATGAATAATAACTTTATGACTAACTAACCAACGACATTAGATAACAGTTGCACAATATTGAGAATTGATTAAAAGAGTTAGAAATGTAAGCCATTGGACGCCAACTAAGTTGCCTAAAGAGTTAAGCGCGTACGTTGGCAACTGTTGTGTGATCATGGAACTGTACCACTGAGGAGTCCTGTACCTAGACGAAAAAGTAATCCAATGCCTCTTGGTTTCTAATCATAATCTAACTAAAGCCAATATGTGATGTAAACTACAAAATTCACCAAAACTCCACTGACCATCTACATTAATAGAAAAGTAACATTGTAAAATTAATTAATGAACAAATAGAAATTTATCATTCTTACGGATAACCATAAAATTGCCACATTGTAGCTAAATCCAATTGACAAACAGTAAAATATGCTTGAGATATAGTATTAACTGAATTGAAGTAAACAGTTAATAGTCTACAAAAAAGTAGAAAAGAATAAATTTAAAAGTTAATAGAATTGTTTATGTCAATCAGTAACAACGTAGAACTTTGTACGTACGTACATCAGTTCAAACTACCATACTACATTAGCACAGAGATGCAGTAGTCGATTCAAATCCCATAGTGGTAGAGGTAGTAAAAGTATAAGCAGTAATCGGAAAGATTAGGGTTTGAAGACGTTATTCAAGGAGTATAATACAGTGAAATAAATTTGGAAAGAGAAAAAAGGAAGGGACATGAAGAATTCAGAAGATTAGAATTTGGGAGAACATAAAGAATGGATCCACCTGCGCCATCGCAAACGATTTTGAGCCATGTCATTCAGGGTCTCTAACCATCGGTTGCTATCATCTCGTGGTCCCCAACCAGTTAGTCTACACCTACCAACATGACTCAGTCCACCTGTCAGTGACTTCATGGACTTGTGCCATGTTTTGGTCTGGCCGCCCCTAGCTTTCTTCCAATCTACTTCTACACCATTAAAACATCGCACGTCGGGGCAGTTGGTGGTTGGGCATACGTAACATGTGTCCCAGACATCTCAACTGATGAGGTTTCACTACCTCATCAATTGATTTGCCATTCTTACCTAGAACCCGTTTCCTAACAACTGTGTTACTTACTCAGTGGCCCCAGGATATACGAGCAATGCTTCGAAAACACCTATGATCGAATACTAGTAACATACGAATATCCTCTACTCTTACCGGCTATGTTTCTCTGCCATAAAAAGTAGGACAGGACGGAGTGCTGCGTAGTAAACCCGTCCTTTTGTTGGTAAACGGATATCTCGACGAGAGATGGTGCTACACAGTGGCTAGAGATGTTATCAGATATGGCTCAGAATAGAAGACAGTGGCGATCCTGCTGTAACCTTCTTTTACTTTCTTCTTAAAAAAGTGATTGTTTCTTCCTTAAATGAAAGATTTCTTCTGGTTGCACCCTTCTGTTCCCCTACTATTGCTATTATTATTATTACACTACCTTACACCAACCTTTTCGTTATTGTTTTTTGTTATTATTATTTTTTTTACGTTCCTCATTGTTTTGTGTGGCGCATATATATTCGGCGCACTCCTGTACCAATATATATGTGTTCAAATAAATAAATAAATAAATATTTATACCACGACACCATGTCATACACTGACCACCTCTCCGTTTTTCCCAACCAGTCCCAGAGTCGGTAAATAATGCACGACGTGGAGTTCTCTGGGACGACGTTCGTAGAACATGTCCAAGCCACCGAAGTCGGTGTTTCAAGATTGTGACACCAATTGCATTATCGTCTCTGTGCCCGAACACACGATGCCGAACCTCTGCATTACTAACATGATGTTGCCACTGGATGTCAGCAATCCTTCGGAGACAACGATGATCGAACACAGAAAGTCATCTAACGTCCTCAACTGGGAGAGGCCAGGTTTCACAAGCATAGAGCAAAACTGCTCTCACCGACGCGTTATAGATCCGACCTTTTACGGCCAGACTAACATCACGAAGGCGCCAAAGGTGGCCCATATTGGCATAAACCGCTCTGGTTTTCACTATACGTGCATTGATCTCATCACTCACGCCACTACGAACACTTATGCAGCTACCTAGATATAAGAACTTCTCGACTACTTCTATCTGCTCACCATCCAGACTGAGTACAGGATTAGAATCCTGCCAGTCTTGTAGAAGTACTTTGCACTTCGAAGGTGCAAAGCACATACCATACCTACGGACATTGATTGCCAACAGATTAAGTGCGGATTGCATATATTTATTAAATGACAAGATCATATTAGTTTAAGGTTCAGGATACACTAGTCTATTATGCAGATTGAAAGGGATGGAGTATACAGTTCAGATGTGTATTTTAAAGTAGTCATCAAATAATTTATTTTCTTGAAAAAATTAACAAACTCACACACGAGATACTTGGTTATGAGTGAATGATACTATATGGTTACTCAAAAGGGATTAGAGAGAACTGATCTGGTAACTGGAAATCCGATACTTTAATCACTAAGTTATAAAAATAATATTTATGTATGTTGGCATTAGTTTCGTAACAGGTACTTGGTTATCTTTTCGAGAAAATACATGATCGTAATATTCTAGTGCATTCGCAGATGTTAATATTGTTCATTTAAGTAACTCAATCACGTCATACGCACTCATGAATTCAACTTTGAGTCACACATCTGATCTTTAACAGTTAGTTATACCATCTTGGCTACTACTCAAACCAACAATAAATGAAATAGAGTTTGGATCTATAAACCAGTTCACTCTGATCTACTAACTTGGAAAAAAAAGTATCTATACTTTTCAATTTTGATCCCATTTTGATCACTGTGATGTACTAATGAAATCTTAAGAAGTATATTGTGCCAAATATGATTCCTCCTCCTCCTTAGCTTTTTTCTACTTGAATTATCTTCTCCTAATGAACCCCTCTCAACGTACAATAGTAAAGACATAAACATTTCTATGTCTGTCTACCAGTTATAACCAATCTATAAAGTACTAACCAATATACTCAAGTCTGAGCTACATCATATACATGTACCATATGGTGGACTAATTAAAATAAAATGGAGTAGAGTTTGAACAGGGTACAAAATACATGAGTAGTTATTATTCTTTAGTAAATTAGTTTGTTTACCGTAAAAGGTAATGACTAGATAGTTGTTTCATGTTAATTGTACGCTTTCTTTTGATTAAAGACTGAGTGAAGAATACAGTAGGAAAATTAGTGGATTTCTTATCAGTAGTATAGTTGAAAGCACAACAAAACTTTAAAATCACCGAATTGAATTGCAACTCATCAACAAACTTATCAAGTCTTCATTCAGAAGAACTACTTAATTCTAAAAAATGAGATGTGATAAAGTTCGACTTGCACTTCCGCGCAGTGCTCCTTGGATAGTGAGTGATCGTTTTCCCTATGAACTAATGCAAGCAGCAAAGAAAATACCGGAATGAACATCCACTCTGCTGAAACTAGTAGAGATAGGACTAATCAGGCGATCTGCCAAAGATGGCGATTGGGATAATCCCTCACTATAAATTCTGATTACCAAGACGAGAGACGTTAACTTCCTTTCAGTGCCTGAACAGATCCTGTCTGGAAGGGCGAACCAGAGCGTAGGTCATAAACTGTGTCGTAACCAGCACATTAGGGTTGATACTAAAACTACTTGTATTATGAGTGTGAATTAGGTATATTGTCTATGACGACTTATTTACATACTGATTTGAGTACTTGATATTCATTTAACGGAAAAGGCCACTGAGCTGCGGCCTGGAGTGATTGCATCTATATCTATATGTGTCCGATGGAGTGTATAGGTTTCAGCCTATGCGTGGTCTGTGTGCATGGAATGTATATTTGCAAGCGAAAACGCCTACACTTTTATGTACTCGTGAGATGAGTGGACTTGTCCGTGTATTACATGATTCCATATAATGCATACTAGCAACCGCGCTCATCTATACCTATGTGTATCACCGCGATTTATGTATCCATATAGAGCATAATTGGGAGAAAGTTTCACATTATTCACTAGTGAAATCGCTAGTAACTCATCAACTCGTTTGCCTTTGCATAAGATTTTCTGAAAGTACACATTTTTTTAAAAAAAAACGTGAAGTGAACTTACTTATATGGTTCTGATCCTATATCTAATGTATTCCAAAATTTTGTACGAAATTCAGTTAATGTAACATCCTTTAATTTAGATTATAATAAACAATAATAAAATATAAATTTAAACTTTGAAAAGGAAGACGCTTTAAAGAATTAAAGATACTTGTCAACAACAGAGAGTATAAGTAACCATGAGAGAACTAATGCTTTTCTTATAGGATTCAAGTTATCCAATGTCACAATGTGTTATATCTGAGCGAAGATTAAATCACGAGTAACTTCTGAGACATATTGTTTATGCATTCTTATGGTATAACTATTCAATAATTAGATTATGTATATCTATATTCCCCTCGTTATAAGCTTTATTTTGACCTATAATTTATTATTGTACGATTTAGTGTTCTTAAGGTATGTTCAGTTTATTAACTACCGCCTCCCATGTTCACAGCCACTTTTTGGGCTTTATTGTGTACAAATGCTATTTCCTATTTCATGATGCATTGCGGTTTGTTTGATTGATATATAAACCCAGTATGTGTGAAACGAATTATTCGATTCAATTCGCATAGTGGAAGCTGGTATTGGTATTCTGGACTCAAGTGTATGGGTTAGGCGGACATAGAACCAATAAGGACGCTAGGCTGCTTATACCGGTTGAACGTCATTAGTTTTGGCACAGTGCTAAGATTGGATAAGTTGTATTTTGAGCGGTGGATCAAATCACGTGATGAAAAAGCCGAACATAAAGACACAACACAATGGGATTTTACAATTGAGTTATTCAAACCTCTCTTATTCACTTCATTGATCTTCCAATTGGTAACACTAAGGATTTTATATTGATTGATCACTGAATAATAAACAATTTCATGGTTTCTTTCTAGTTCTTAGTCTTGATCAAACTTTATTTGAATACATTACTATCTATCGATTGATTGTAATCAATTATTATCAAAACATAATGCACATGATGTCAAATAGCTACAATGCAATTTGATCGATAAAATGTGATTAGCACTAAAATAGAACTAGATAAGCATTATTAACTAATGATAGATCAATGTTAAGATTAAATCTATTGTTTCTATTACGAAAATCTTTATACCAATTCGATCATATTTTTTGATGAAAATATGGTTAATTGAGTTGCCATCCGCCAAGATATTTATGGATACATTTCAAACCTTGAAAAAGTAAATTTAAACTAGCAAATGATTTAATGATAAAGTTGTTGAGGTGATCCGGCAAATTTCTTGCGGAAGACAAGCAAGGATCAGGAAACACTAAGAAGCGTTTCCTCCAATCAGAGTTCACTTGAAGTTTTAGCCAAAAATATCAAGGAAGTGAAACGTCACATGCAGAGGTCCTGATTGACTGATTGCTACACTGATACTATGTTTAGTAGCATTCCAGAATCTTCTAGCAGCCCAAGGACATTTAAAATATTATAAAAACCCTATATTTTCTGTATCAAAATGAACCTTGGAGTAAACTACTTCTCGCATACTTTGCGTCTTCTCTCTCGTGTTCAGGTCGCTGTATAGTTCTAGCTTGGGGGTTACAGAATAGCTTAGGAGACGAATATAGCGTCCAATCCGCGAGACTTAACAAGTGTCCCTGTAATATTAGACAGAGTTGATTTCAATTTCAGATGGAATCATGGTCTACAAATATACAATTCAACACAAAGGATTATGTAATTTAGCGTATCCATAATTTGACCTATCAGGAATCCAATCCAAGACCTTTAACCTTACGCACAAATATTTAACCACTAGTCTTGTGTGTGCACTGATGAAGAGTCCCATACTAGGATGAAACAGCTGTCCAGTACTTCCTAGTTTTTAGTATTTATCTAGCCTAGATCGTTATATGGTCTCAACAAAACATGAAATATTATTTTGCTGAACAAATTATTTGACTGATTTATTCATATCACTTAACTGGATAACCCTACATACATACACTTATCAGTGCTAGCCGAAAAAAAGGATATCCATAATCTGTACAAAATTAAAGACAATACTGATTGTTTGACATTTTAGTAACAATTGTAGCTTGGTATTTCAAACGGCTTAGTTAGAACTATCTGGTCAAACTAAGTGATCTGAATATTCATAATTAAAACGTTCCATTTCAACACTAATTAACTAAAACCGGTGGTTAAAAGGCTAGATGAATAGACTGCATATGGAAAAGATTATCAAATGTCAAGTAATGGGTAGGATTTAAGCAGACGTTCTGTGTACCTAAGCATGAGTACTCATCTATTTAGCACAGATTAGTCTGTTTCGTTTCACTGTATGCCTATTAAAAGATCTTTTGAAGACAGGATGTGTGTAAGTTATTATCATTTGATCACAGGTATCTTGGAAACATCAGTCGTGTATATTGGAACAATCGATTGATCAATACTGAAAATATATGTACAGTGCTAGAAAGTAATGATAAATAGATTAGTAAAATGTCAAGTCTTCGCCAACGAATGTTATTTAGTGCAGGAGTAAGTTGGGTGGAGGATGACGACAAGTCATTAACAGTTGTCCTAATTTTTGTAGATTGTTATCCAATAATTAGCGTCTACGTGATAATCACAACAAATGCTTAGCGAGTCTAGTTAGCACGGATCCATACATTGTTTACATTTCGCTTACATTTTGAGTTCCAATATTATTTGACAATCTTTTTACTTCATAGTCGATAGCATTCGATCTGCACTAATAAGGACTTGACACACATGACATTGGTCACCATCCAGTGATCAATCAATTGTGACTTCATGAATTTATTTTGTCTTTTTGAAATATATTCTTCATGTTTAGTCTTTTTGCCATCATGAATACTACTGTAGTGAATGAGAACGCAAGTGGGATAATCGAATGTATTTCAGCAAAAAATTACAAAATCTCTTAGTCAAATCTGAGAAGAATACAGTACATTTTTCATTTGCAAAATGTCAATCAACTATCACTTTCGATTGATGATACATACTACTTATATCTGTCGACATCAGTAGTACACACTACAGATGCCCTGGTACGGCCGAGAGTGAGGAGAGGCCGCTCTCCCTATCAAAATCCTCTCACATCGCCACGTGTATATAGCCTCTGCCAGAGAATTCCTACTCACTGCTTTCTCGCAACTGGGGTGTTGTTTACGAAATTGAAAGGACAAAAAGCGAATATTCGGCGCATTAACCAGGTTGGTGGTTATGGAGAGTCCATCTACGGGTGTTGGAAAACCCACATTCCAAACCAATGATAGACATGGGCTCCAGTATCCTGAAGGAACAAATGGCGTATGAACCAATCGTTGGTCACCGGCTATCATGAGAATGCATCTCCTTACAATGCTCCACTACCTTATGGATCAGACCTTCAGGTCGAAGGCTCCGGGTGTGGCACCCTAAGAAAACCACCTGCTTCGGTCTGGGCACCCGGGCAGTATCACAGCCCTCATACATATCAAATGAGATCTGTTTGGCGCATATGTATTTGGTGTCTACACTATTACTATTACTTTGAAACCTTTGTTATTTCATACTGTTACATAGATGTTTATCATGTTCTGCAAACACTAATTCTGACCATAGTTGTTTTGTAGAAGGATTTCACCATGAAATGTTTGTGAATTAAAGAGCCAATTAAATGAGATAGTATTTAGGTTAGATAGGATGAAAGATAATAAACAATTTTCCTTATCTTACTTGCTTGACAAGATTTTCCACATAACAATAAATTTGTAGATGAACATGAAACAATTCATTAAAAATAATCCAATAACTCACATTTGATTTAAATGATTGTTTCATAGGTACTTCATTATCATAACGAAATGGATCAGTACTTGAATTCAATAAAGTATGTGTGACCTAGAATAAAAATAATATCAGGTATGTATGTAATGAACAAAGACTTGAATAGGGTAAATCAATTTATTGTATGATCATGCAAAATGACATATTGTAAATGTAAAATATGAAAACAATACATGAAATACATTATTTGCCCATCTTCCTTGAGTTTTCTCTTACAAACTCCATCGTTTTTTTTTCATTCAGCCGGTTTAATCCAGAACTCTAATATCAGCCCTCCGCGATACGAACCATATATTTCAGACATATTGGGCTTTTATAAAAACAAATCAAACCATATCACACCATGAAAGAGAAAATAACATTAAGCCAAAAGTGGCTGTGATTGTGGGATATTGTGACTAATAAATTGAGAATGACTTGAGAATAATAAATCATAAAACAGTAACTCATAGGTCAAATATAAGCTTATAATTAAAGGAACATAAACATACATATAATATAGTTACTTTATTTATTTAAACACATAAAGATCGGTACAAGAAGGCACCAAATAGGTATGCACCACATAAATCATTCGATTTCTGTGAGGGCTGAGATACTGTCCCGGTGCTCAAACGGAAGCATGTGGTTTTCTTAGGTGACCACAACCGGAGCCTTCGACCTAAAAGTCTGATCCACGAGGCGGTGGAGCAACGTTAGGAGATGCAGTCTCATGGTAACCGGTGACCAATAATTGGTTCACACACCATTTGTTCCTTCAGGATACTGGAACAAATGTGCACCATTGGTTTGGAATCAGAGTTTCCCAACTCTCCTATGTGGATCTTCCATATCTACCTGCTAGGTTTGAAGCCATTACGAGTTCACTTAGTATACGAACGGAACGAAGACTTGTGACCGTAGACCAATAAGTTAGCTATTTGATGCGTCTCAGCCCCGCTAACTAGAGGAAGAAGTCCAAACTTGGAACGGGAAAGTATATTCCGTAAGCCAGAAGCACGAATGAATAATAACAGACACAAATCAAACGTATATATACAACATAAAACTATCCTTGGGAAGCGTTGCAAAAATAGCATACTAAAAATACACAACGGACCAATAGCGTTAAAGATTCTCCCAAGTGGGAATATGACATGAAAGTGAAAAGTGTGCTTTTGGTGCGAAAACAAGGAAATTTAAATTTCCAAAATAAAATTATAAAATTAAGGCATTTATCAAGTAAGTTCTGGGGATCTAACATCCCCAACACCACCAACCTGTTTAAAGCGCCGGATATTCGCTTTTCGTCTTCTCAATTTCGTAAACAACACCGCCGCGAGAAGGCAGTGAGTAGGACATCCTGGCAGTGGTTGTATGCACGTGGCCATGCGAGGGCATTTCGGGAGAGAGAGAGAAAGAGTGAACTCTCCCCACTCTCGGCCGTACCAGGGTGTTTGGGAGCTAGTTACTTAATGGTCATACAATAAGAATATTCGTATGATATTAGTACATAAATAATCACTAGCGGTTACTAGTCATTTATTCACATCCGGATATAGTAATAATAATAATAATACACTCACTTTAACATGACCAAGTGAATCTTTAGATTCACTTTCTAGCGATTTTTGAAGTGCTTCCTTAATCAAACATTTTCCTTTATACCTAGTAAACATTCACCCAATAATATAAACAACAAAGTAAATTATAAGTAAATAAAGTGAGCAAAAGAGGAGAAGAAACAATTAATAAATCTTGAATTCTAGAGAAAAATGGAACAACATATGTAAACCATAGGTAGATCAGTATTCGAACGCTGACTATTAAACTCATTTTGAAATCATACACTTGTTTTTAATTCAATGGTTTAATAAACTATCCCAAACGTTGAAATCCAAGAAAGTGGATGGGGTTCCTATTTGCAGATCCCGTAATTTTAATCGTTCACTTATATTAACGGATAATAATTAAATCGATGAATATTAGCTGATTAGCTGTAGTTATATTTTAATCTTCAGACAATGAAGAAGATTTGAAGCTCAAGAGAATGGTTTCAGTAAAATTGTATCTGTTGAATAGTTGAATTGTTCTCATTGCCATCTTAGGCAGTATTGTCAAAGGCATAAACTTTAGAAGTAGAAATCCCTGACATTGTCTATTCGTGGTGCAAGTTAGCGAATTGACATGAAATACGTATACGAACACCTTAGACATTAAGTAACATTAACCAAGAACACTGAATATATATATATATATATATCTTTACAATTGAGTTTGTCCATATATTTCAATTTAGGTTAGCCAATAAAACGGTTTCTACTCACTGCTGGTTTTCTCGCTAATGTTCCAAGTTGATCATGTATATAGGAAGCGGATAGATCAATGTCTAAACTCGAACAACTGCCTAACACAATACATACATGAGTATTTCTTTCTATCATAAAATTTATTAAATATGAAGCAACTCCATAGAGATAAGAGTCCGTTAATGTACATGGCTCTTACTAAGTGTTTAAACTTAAACAGGCGAAGTTGATGTGAAAAGGAAACCAAGATGTATGTAAAATCTTGGTTACATTGATCGAGATAAATTAGTATTAGCAAATTACTTTAACACAGTTGCTATGCATAAAAAATACAACAACTAAGTGGTAGGGAAAAAATCAACTTACCAATGACCGAAATTTAAATGCATTGCAGCACCAGTCACTGCCATATGAGCACAGGTATTACTAGAATTGATAGGTGGAGTTAACACTGATGATGTGATTGTTCCTTGTCCTGCTGTTGTCGTTGTAGTTGTTGATACTGTGCCAGTTCCAGAAAATGTTGACGTTGTTAATGATATTTCTGGATTTTGTACCGATGCCATACATGTTTCAAAGTATGCATGTAATTCGTTCTCAGCCATCGTAAGATTTCGTTTATGCAAAGCATATACATGTGAGGCATAATGCTGTTTTAAAAAAGAAAGATAGAAACAATGAAGATGAAGAACTTTACAAAACGTGATGAAAATACTTGGTGACAATTGGTATAATCAACTGTAGTACTTGGCTCCGATGATTCTCGAAAAGAGGTCTTTTATTAATCTAACATTCTTGATATAAAGGCTGATTATACTTTAAGTACAGATATACACGGAACTTAAAGCTTCTTCATTCATGTGAAAAATTTGGTATGGATGTTCAAGGAAATGAGAAGTACAGTATCAATTGTTGATTGACTAACTTCGATTAATCTCTTCAATCATGGGATTTTGAGGTTACACTATCAACTGATTCCCCTTCACAAAACTTGACTATCTCCTGTGTTAATTTTTTCTCAAAAGTTACGGGTTCTAAGACAATCAAAGGACTTTCACCGTTTCGATTATCTCAGTTATCATGAGACATCTACAATGTAATTATTGTTAAAGTGTTTACTTGCTTTTCCACTCAAAAACCTGTTTACATTTCTCGGTAGATATGCATTGTTTCAAACAAATAACTACTCTTTATACTATTTTACCTCATAGATCAGATCCTCAGAGTAGCGCTTCTGGACATTCTTCATGCTTTTAATGATGTTTTTCAATGTAAACTAACAGTTATTGCACCAAATTGAGTCAAACGACGTCTTAATAAACTTGAAGGTATCTTTTGCACTCAACCCTGTAATCGGTATCTCAGAACTCGTAAGCTCATTTGAACTTTTCAGTATCGTGCCTCTATGATTATTAGATGAAATTAAATTTATGAACGAAAGAAAACACTTTTTGACTGTGAGAAAAACCACCTTTACAAATTTTCTATCTTCTATTCATGATTATATCCCCAAATACCTTGGTATGCCCGAGGGTGAAAAGAATCCGCTCTTCCTCACAAAATGCTCTCACATGGCCATACGTATACAGCCAGTGCCAGGGAATTCCTACTCACTGTCTTCTCGTGACGGAGGTGTTGTTTACGAGATTGAGAGGACGAAAAGCGAATGTTTGCCGCTTTAAATGGGTTGGTTGATACAGAGGGTTCACCTACAGGAGTTGGAAAACCATGATTCCAAACCAATGGTACACATTTGTTCCCGTATCCTGAAGGAACAAAAGGGTGTATGAATCTATTATTGGTCACCGGTTACCATGGGACTACATTTCCTAAGCTTGCTGAAATTCAGAAAATAATCTAAGCATTCATATCATTAAGACAAACAAACAAAAAACACTTACTGTATATGATACTTCAGGATACATTTTTTTAGCTAATAATAAAAGTTCATTGTATTTTTGTAGATTAAGATTAGGACGTCCACCAATTTTTCCAATAGAATCAATAATTTCTGAACAAACATCTAAAGCTTGATTACGACTGAAAAATATGAATGAATGTTTGTTTGATTGAGAAAAACAAACAAAAGAAATACTCGTTAGAAATAAATCAACGTTTGAAGTTAAATAAAAGTTTTTCAACTAAATAAAGAAGTTGTTGAGAGCTGTTTTTTTTAATTTCATGGTTAACATCACTGATCGATCTTAGTTAAAGGACTATTAAAAAGCAAGAAGCATTTCGTTTTAGTATAGGACTCTTTAGCAGTGTGTATCCATGACCCCACCAGCGGAGATCGAGCCCGAAAACTCTGATCTTGAGTGTGAACGTTCAAGCTCCAGATCACTGATACGTGTTTAACTTCAATAGATTCGTAATATCACACAACCACTTTCCAATTTATGTAGTGTGTAACTGCCTGACAGTCTACATAGTTGAACTCCACTGGTCACGATTTCTCTCCAATGTTAACTATGAAAAGTTCTTTTACAATGTAGATGAAAGTGATTGACGGAAGACCTATTGAAAGGCTAAACCAAGACAAAAATCAGTCCATGAAATCACTGACTGTTAAACTGAACAATGGCGTGAGATTTAGACTATCTCCATGACGTTCGTGTGATAACTGGGTGCTGGGTGACGTGACTCAGAATTGAATACAATGGTGCAAATGCATTCATACATTACATCTCACCTAGATCTTTAGTTTCAGTGCTCCATCATACATGCCGTCTCTTCAGCTATTCTTCTTGAAACATATTTTTCAATGTCGAGTCTTTCTCATTATAACTGCTGCTAGAATTATACCGACTTCATTATTTTTATTTGTAAGTGGTAGTCATTTATCTGAATTTATTTATCACTAATATCCAAAGAAACAGTTATTTACTTCGATAACTTGTAACTCATTCTGATTCGCTTACTGCGAAGCTCTTTTCTCCACCTCTTTCTTTCTCTCCCTACTTAGTTCACTACAATCAATCTAGTATATTTGAACTAGGCTGATTACAATTTCTATACCATTTTATTTTTTGATTGAACCGACAAACGTTAGACCACCGTTGAAAATCTGAAAGAACTGAACGGTTGTTTCGTCCTATTGTGGGACTCCTCAGAGGTGCATATCCACGATCCTGCCAGCGGGATTCGAACCCAGGGCCTTCGGTCTCACGCGCGAATGCTTAACCTTTAGACCAATGAGTCGGCATCCAACGGTGTTAATGTCCAACCATTTTGAGTGCTGTTAGAGGTATGAGGGCGGTTATCCTTTTCCGGTTGCTCACACCGTGGAAGGGTTCTTCTGGAGGTAGCTGGGAAGGAAATTAGATTGGAGGTGGTCTTAGTGACCTGAGAGCGTGACCGCAGTGCTCAAGAGACAACTGCTTGAGGTTGGTCACACGCGACCTTTTTGTGAGTAGTTTTCGTGTTAGCTCCGTACTTGTTGAGACCTTGTCATTGGAGATGGATATCCCTGGGATAAGGCGAGGTGTGCAATTTTAGGGTCGACCATTTCTAACCCCACCACTCTTCGTGGGAAGGCAGCATCGCTGTCATGCTGGTTGTGTGAAGGAAACATCTATTTATTTTAACACATAGATATTGGTACAAGGATGCACCAAATACATATGCGCCACACAGATCTAATTTGAAGGAAACACCTTACTGCTGTCACACCTCTGTACAGTCAGCAGTACGACTTCGCCTTCGGACCTTGGGTTTGTTGCTTTTAGTCTTACCGCTCTTCAACCGACCTGTCTGGCATGGTAAGACCTTGAGGAACGGTTGTTCCAGCCAGTATTGCTCGGTTGCTTCATCACGATAGGCAAGCCCGACCACCACGTCAAGGTAGTAACAACGGTCGCGCTAACCATTCTAATTATGTCAGTTCCAATCTAAAACTAATCCTAATAAAATCATATTAAGCAAAGATGAGTAGTGGCCAGCAGTGGAATCCAAGACGCAAGTTTCGTCCTATTTAGGACTCGTCAGTTGGATGCTTGTGAATTAAGGCAATACGCACAGTATGCACAGGTACCAATAAGAGACTGATCAATTGCAGTCTTAAACTTCAATGGAAAGATTCAAATAAACAATACCAAGTGAGAATTATGATATATATATAAAATGGATAACGATAATAATAATAATAACATAACTTACGTTGATATTAAATATTGATCTCTAGTGAATGAATGAGCAAACTTTTGTACAATTAAATCTTCAGTATCCAAATTTGATATAGAACACATTTCATTATCATAGGCATCAAAGAATGAATCAAGGAATTGTATTATTTTTTCAAAACTTTGAGAATAAATTCCAAGTGAAAATTTTCTTATAAACAGACCTACAGAAAAAAAAGATTAGGTGGTTCTTATCTTTAATAACATTTATGTAAACACTAATTCTTTCTTCTTGTACTAGGTCCTTATATGCAATTTTTCTTTTATAGATTACCACCAATGAATGAACTACTACTTCTATGAATTCGGTGTTCATATTCTTATGCTAATGAAGTATGGCAACTTGGACCGATGTATATATATGCTTGATCTTACGTTGTAACTAAGTGAATGGTACAAAGCAGCACCGAATACATATTTGCCATACAAGTTACTTGATTTGTGAGTAGGCTGTGATACTGCCCAAGTGCCTAGACAGATATCGTTAAAATGAAATAGTAGCCTAGTGAATTTAAACCAGTTCAATACAAATACAGGGAGAATTGTCATTAGTAATCCTTGTTACCTTGTTCTGTTATTTACATAGAAAATGAAAAAATGTAACTACTCCTATTGGTTTTGATCTGAAACTATATTTTCCCACAAGCTACCGATGTCAAAATTCATCAATTGGTTTATATGAAGTACTTATAAAATTTAGGTGTCTAGATTGGAGATAAAATAGGTTTTAATTTATGGTTCTACAAAACTACAAAACACTAGGAATATCTATTTTGTTACGATGCCGCAACTAGTCTGAGTATTGATAATCCGTAAAATGAGTAGAAAATAGTTACAATATGGTATGAAGCTTTTGAGTGAGGGATACGTGTATCAAACTAGCATGTGTTGAATTATCACAACTTCTTAAAATGGCTCCAACAGACGGTAAAAACCACTGACTTAAGACTGTCGTGAATGACTCAAAATCAAAACTAGTAGCAATACCACTGTAGCTTTTTAAATCCAAAATAGACAGTAAGATATCCTTTTAGAAGAATAAAGACCACCTCGGTTCTGCTGTCATCTGGAATGTGTTACCTATATCCTCTCTCGTTATTCATTTCACAAAACTATCATCTCTTGTATGGTAAATTCATTGAGTCACTCAGTCACAACGCAGTACCTGGTACGTTCAATTTGCTACACCCCATTAGAACAGAGATGAGACTGACAGGCCAAGTCCCAGAATAGCAGAGGTAGTAACGCTATCACTGGTAACGAAAAAGATTAAGCATCGAAGATACGACTAAAAAACACAAATTAGTGAAACTAAAGTTGTGAGGAATTTAGTATCGGGATTTAGGGAAAACAAAGGGTGGATGCACCTCTGCCATTGCAAACGATTTCTAGCCATGTCAATTAAAGTCTCTAAGCAATGGTTACGATAAACACGCGGACCCCAACTAAGTAGTATGTACCTATTAACATAGCTAAGTTCAACTGTCAGTGACTTCATAGACTGATGCCATGGTTTGGTTAGACCACCCCTAGCTTTCTTCCAACCTACTCCTATACCAGGAAACATCGCCCATCAAGCTAGGCGGTGGTTGTGAAAACGTAACACATGTCTCGACCACCTCAGTTCATGGAGATTTGCTCTATTCCTAACCTAGGCATTGCTTACTCCGTGGTTCAAAGATACACGACCAATGCTTTAAAGAAACCTATAATCGAATACCAGTAACCTACGAATATCTTCTATTCTCAATGACCATGCTTGGTAGAATGGAGAGGATTGCTGAGCAGTACACACCGTTTGGTTGACAGACGGATATCTCGCCCGCTCCACAAGTGACGCGGGTTGGCAAAGGCCAATACAGCCTTCTGAATCCGTGCCGAGATTCCGTCAGACACCAAACCATTAGGACTAATGAAACACAAGATAGGTGAAGTGGTCGATGCGTTCAATTACTTCATTTCCTATCACTAATTCAGGCAATGACACAAACCAATCTTGAAGTAAAATTTTACATCTGGGGAAAGAGAAACGGATGCTTGCATTGTTGATCAGAAGACTGTATTTTGTCAGCGTCTTCACCAAACACAACTATATCATCTGCGTGTTCTAAGTCAACAAATGAACCTCCAGGAAGATCAATCCCTGAAAAGTCAGACAATGAAAGTGTTGTCTCCAAAAGCATGTTTATAACAAAGTTAAATAAAAATGGGAAAAGCGGACAACCCTTAAGAACGCCACTTCAAGTAACCAATTCCTATGAAAGTTCCCCATACGTTATGACTCAACTAGTAATGTTCGAGTAGAGAAAATGTACAAGGTTAACGTACATTTTATACGCTTTCCAATGACAGACAGTTCCACAGAACCTCACGTTCAACTGAGTCGGGAGGCTTTAAAGTCAAAGGGTAAAACTATAATCGGACGTCGAAATTCTAACCGTAACTGCTACCTCGACGGAAAGGAGGGGTCAAAAAAGGTCAATCATAAATACACCACACCTCACATCACCCCAAAAATTATCATCTCCCGCGCCAAGGTATTTTGAAGTGCGGAGCTAACATACCAAAAGCTTTCCATAATAAAGCCTTGTGCGAACGGCCTCAGGCAATTCTCCCATGGGCTTTGCGACCACACTCCCAGATTGCTAAGACTACAACTACTTCAGCTTCTTTTTCAAGTTACTCAAGAAAAATATCCTTTTACAGTATGGAGAGCCAGTATGTGACCATTTCTGACCCCTTCTTTCTGTTGTGAAAAGGCAGAATCGCTGCAGATGCTGATTGTTCGCGAGAAACACTTTACTGTTATCATGCCCTATTACAGTTTTCAGTACGACTATGCCCTTAGACCTTAAATTGCTGCTTTCAGCCTTACCGTTCTCCAAACAACCTGGTAGGATCTAAAGGAACATATTTTCCAACCAATGTGGCTCCGTCGAGTGATAACGATAGGCAAATTCGACCACCACGTCGAGGTAGCAGCTACGGTCAGAATGGTTTGTCGTGTCAGTAATTGTCGCTTTATAGATAAAACAGACAACAAAATTAGTTTTTCTTGATTAATACCATAACTTTTACGCAAATGATTATATGCAAGCTCTACTCACTGCCTTCGCGTGGCGGAGGTGTTGTTTACGAAATTGAGAGGATGAAAAACGAATTTCCGGAGCTTTAACCGGGTTTGTGGACATGGAGAGTCCATCTAGGGGAGTTGGAAAACCCACATTCCAAACCAACGGTGTACATAAGCTCCAGTATCCTGAAGGAACAAATGGCGTATGAAACAATTGTTGGTCACCGGCTACTATGGGACTGCATCTTCTTACGATGCTCCACTGCCTTGTGGATCAGACCTTCAGGTCGAAGGCTCGGGGAGTGGCCCTCTAAGAAAACCACCTGCTTCAGTTTGGGCACCCGGGTAGTATCACAGACCTCACACATATCAAATGAGATTTGTGTGGCACATATGTATTTGGTGCCTCCTTGTACCAATATCTATGTGTTAAAATAATAATAAAGCTCTAATACGAATCAATCACTACTTAATATTTGACGTTTAACAAATTTTAAAACGATTTATCGTAAAATATCACTTAGCTTACCGAAAACGCTGTCTTTAGTCAAAAGAAATCTTCTTCTATTACTATTTTGACTAACATCACCTCCGCCATCACCACTATCCTCATCGTCATCGTCATCAATTTCATTGCCAACATTCAATGATTTTGCAAAGATTAGATTTTTAAATGTTGACAAATTTGTGTACGCAACAGCCTCATAGTAATTGCGTAGTCTTTCAATTCTAGTCAATTATAGTTTTTTAATCATAAAAATATGATTATATATATTTACCGGCCTCGAACCAGTGGTTTTAAATACGCAGGAATACGTGCACTTTGCGAATTGCATTTCAATATGTCAAATGGATTACCAATATTTTCCTTAAAAGAAGCCTATTAAAATAACAATCAACTAACCTTCAACATTTCATACATTAGCATATACAAACTGATTGTTTCTTTTGAATTACTATACTGTATTTGGTCCTCAGAGTTATCTGACATCATTAATGAACAGATATATTCACGTAAGATGATGAACAACATAAAGCTGTTGTGTGTAACACTATCAATGAAATAACTTTCACCACCAATTTTCTGGTAGAATATCATTTTATCAAGATGTAATTTGGCTGTGTTATCTGAGGAATTAACAGAACTTCATGTTAATTATTTAAAACATGTGACTAACAAAGTGCCCTATAAAGGATAGGATATGAAGAAAAAAATAAAGCTATAGGCAAAGACAATCAGTGAATTACTGTTCATAATTACTTTGTTAAATAACTGTGAAACTAGGTTATTAATTTAAGTGTATTCAATAAGACTGAAAAAGGCTTGACCAACTTACTACAGAATTCAGCGGACAACATTGGTATACAATCCACTAACTCTTATACAGAACATTTGAATGATCTGACAAATTAAACTTTCTGACGTTTAGTGAATATTCGTACTGAGATTAGCCTTCAGAAAATAGGGTCTTTTTCATGCATACAGTAAATTTAATGTGAAGTTGGGAATTATAATTTCTCAGGCAAAGGCTGAACGCTACTTGTTATACGTAAATATCACATCAACCTGTTTGGGCACAAACTTATAACAAAAATTGCAAGCTTGATTTATTGTAAAGATATATTGTAGTAAAGTATTCCTACAGAAATACTGAAACTATCTTCAGTGTATCGTACATAAAATATTCCTTGGCTATTTGGATATACTAACAATCATACCTACAGGGATGAATCCCTTGATAAAGAAGTATATGCATGATGTACATAAGATGTTATGTAAGGAGGCAAATCTTTCCTTTAAAACAAACGTGACTATGGAGGTGGTCCATGAGACGTAAAATAAATGCTCCTACAAACTCAAAGTACAATCCTACTAGGTTTAGGTGGATCTTAATAATAGGCTGGCAGTTAACTGCCTAGCGATCTCCCTCTATTCAATGTAAAAACTGACCTACATGTGGCGAATATATAACGCAAAATAGAAAACGAACGAAATACCAAAGACCCAACATCACATGCTGTAGAATAACTTGAAATGGCATCATAAGAACTTTAATATACAACGTTGCGGAGTACTCCGCAAAACTCACGCAACCTATTTAACCTCGTCACCAGAACACGCACTAATCTCCCTATTTATGAGAAAACTGTCATTTTGGGGGAACCGCTCGGAAAATCTTGAGAAAATGGCACAAAACCCCCCAAAAATTCCTAAGAATCGAGATATTGGGATTACGACAAGATTATAAGTTATGTACGGACCAATCACGTGTAAGATAACAGGTCTTGCATTTTGGCGCGAAATTCACACATTCCTACGGATAAATAGGGTTTTTGCATTATAGCTGGTGTCAGCTCGTGATGAAAACCATAAATCTAGTTTCTAACCTTAATCATCAACTGTAAATCTTAATCTTAATTCTTTACACAAGTTTGTAAACCTCATTAAAGAGGATCAAATTTGGTCCTGCTTATTGAATGAACACTCTCAAGGTCAGTCAGGCATCGCTCAAAGGTCGTCCAATAATAATATTCTCACCGTCTATCCAGCTTGTGACAAATCAGGAAACAGCCTCCGTGAATAGACAGTTCAGAGTTAGGATTCAGGTGCTGCTAGTAACCATTTAAGACGTTTTCAGTGCTACAAAGACGTTTTCCCAGAGCTCCATACATACGCGACTCCTGAAATTCGCACTAAGGCTTAAGCGTTGTATCCTGAGTTATGGTTTGCTTGCCCTTCACTATGTACTCACCACGAAAACCAGGAAACAGTAACGCACAAAACAAATAGCCCCCAATAAATATTTGTTATTCAACGTCAGATACCCGTGTGCTTGCTTACTGTGCTTTCGTGTCTGGTGACAACAAGTCACAGATCATTCCAGGTGTGAATCTAGGTATATTCAGTGATGAGAAAAATATATTGATAAGTTATAGTGAAATATGTGTCGAGTTTTCTCCTGAAGGACTCCCGGTAAGTCAATTGGTCTACCTCAGACGACAGTGAGTTCCAGAAGTTGGTTATTCGTAAGGAATAGGACGTGCATCCACATCCTATTCTGCCACATTGTGTCCCTAATTCCTAGGTGTTATCCCTAAGATTTGTTTTGAGATGGACTTAAACAAGCGTTTGCTTGGGCGCTCAGAGGTATTTTGAATACCGTAAGTCATTAGAAAGTCACATCTGAGTTGCCTATGCTGAAATGGGTAGCGATTCAGTGGTTTAAGATGCTCTTCTTTCGGATGGAATTAGGGTCCCCAAACTGTTTTCGCAGATCGCCGTCGGATAGATTCCAGTGTAGTTCTATTGCAGCGGTAAATAAATCCCCAAAATAAATAGCTCTGTAAGTTTTCGACATTGCATGCTGATCACATGTTCTAATGGACTTGTAGTGGCATTGGACCATAACCACACAATCTTCAAAGCTGAACACAAGACTACTCAGAAAATAGATATTCAATATTTAACGCAGAGAAATACCTAACAATGGAGAAGGCGCGAATAATGAATTGAATGAATTGGAGTTGGTCGAGTGGCATGGCTCGGCCATGCAGGCGTGGTCTCTGCTGAATATTACCTTATATCTTTTATTCATATTAAATATATTGTTCTTTCTCTAGCCTAAGCTTGTTCTTCATCATGTATTGGTAGTTGTTACGATACAGTGAGTTGGTGTAGACGATGATGTGACTTCCACGTAAGATCTTATAGATTAGGCAGTTATATCATGACAAATCTACAATTTTAGGATTAGGTCTATTATTAGAGCAGTACTAATATCATAGTAGACCATAATTCTACAGACTCACCTAGCTGAGGGCACCCGGTCATGCATCCGCACCAGATCACGAGTAGGAACGCCGTGCTCAACAACCCCTGCAATCGCTAGCCAGATTAGATCAGACGATTCTCGATATATTGATATCATAGCAAATATATCTTCGAACTTCCTCGCTTATGTCTTTTGATTCCACTTGGTGGGTACGCTTTATTACTGTTACTGGTTAAAGCGCTGTCAAACTCTAAATACCTGTGACACCTTCACTATCCTCTCGGATTGGAGAAGGAAACACTATATTTCTGTACTCTATTACGTGAAGTTGGTTTGTAAATCGGCTGAGACTATGCATCATAGGGTACCAGCACTCATATATTCTCTTTACGTTAAAATATCTCTAGATAGGAGTTACCCAAGTGGTATACCCAGTCTGCACCATCTCTCGGATGAACTGTTTTACACTTTGAAGTATGAAAATAAAGTCCGTTGTTATCTGCCAACTCTGAAATCTTGTTAGATCATTCTGTCGCCAAACCACGAGAGACGGATAATCCCAACTGATGCTGGTATCATAACCAGTATGGAATGTCTTCCAGAAATTGCAGAAAACCCTTCAATTTTCTCAACTCGAAACCGACCGACACGAAAAACAATTCGCGAAACTTCCAAGCCGGCACGCGTTAACGGCAACCGCAACCGGCTAACATAATCGTGTGTTATGTGTCACAGATGTGACAACGAGAGTTCGCTACCTCGTCGACACTGGCGCAGAAGTTAGCGTTTTCCCAGCAAATCCTAACGACCGGCTTCACGAATCGACTTTAAACTTACAGGCGGCAAACGGAAAACCTATCGCTACGTATGGCAAAAGGTACGTTCACCTTAACGTGGGTTTACGCAAACCCATTCACTGGATTTTCGTTGTTGCAGATGGTTCTATGCCAATTATTGGTATGGACCTTCTACAACACCATAATCTGATCATCGATACGCTCAAACAGAGACCAGTAGACGGAAACACTAATTTATCCGTTCGCGTAACTTCTTCCGGTTGCAGATTATCCCCAGTCACAATTAAGCATATGATAGACCCACTCTGTCAACCACTACTCGATAAGTACCCTAGGATAAAACAAACTTAACCGAAGCTACCGTGTGTAACCAGCAACGTTACACTGTAACAGCTTAGGTTGGTTGGTTAAGAGTTGACCCCAAACAACCAAGCATATGTCAAAACAGTATTGTTCAAGTATCCATTCACTTCCTTGTTTTGTATAAGCGTTATATTCCCTATCATCTTATATTGAATGTTGAGAGCCTTTGTTTGTCTGAACAGATAATCCCATGCTCCACTGTCACCGCGCGAAGATCGAAATAAAGACCTATTCACTACTTCTCTGGTTTCTTCTATCAATAGCACGAGGGCTACCTTAAGGCACGAAACTGGTGAGCCCTTTTTGAACACAAATTTAACCTCATTTCTGTTATTAACATTTTTTACTTAATCGTAAAAGTAGACCTGATTATCCGTAAACTAATTTGAGTATATAACTAGTTTATTCCGTATTATCTTAAGTTATTCGTGTTATAGTAACCACTTTTTGTGCTAACTTTATTGCTATGTTTGTCACATACCTCATGTCAGACTCAATAGAAACCCATAATCTGGAGGATTTGTCACCAGTGGAGATAGACACTGTTATGACTACGAAATCCCAACTTCCAGAATTTGATCGTAGTGATCCTGAGTTGTGGTTTGCTCAACTAGAGCATTATTTCACGAGACACAATATCAAATCTGAAGGGATTCGCTATAGAGACTTGTGTTCTATCCTTCCTCCTTCAGTCGCCAAATAAGTCCGTGACTTGATTTTAAGTCCACCATCACCACAACCATACACCATCTTAAGACGAGAGATAATGAACCGTTTATCATTATCAGATAGTCAAAGAATCCAAAGACTTTTTCAAGGTGAAACACTAGGTGATCGGTCGCCGTCACAGTTTTTACGTCACCTCCAAGTCTTAGTGGGTGATAACACAGCGGGTGAAGCAGTCCTAAAACAAGGATGGATACAAGCTCTCCCATGCTACGTCCAACACTGTTTGGATGCACAAGATCCTGAAATCTCAATATCTCATTTAGCGCGTATAGCCGATAGAATAATGGAAAGAGGTCCTCCAACTGGATCAGGCACAATAAATCACACACAAAAAGTAGAATCAGCAAAAGACCCCGTAATAGAAGGACTCATTGCGAGTGTTAAGAGTCTCACTGAGGCTGTCACCAGAATGCAAATGGGTCATAGGAACAGGAGCAGGTCACCACAACGACCACGATCCAAGTCACAAAACAGGTCACAAATGTCCAGACAATCTGGGCAGTTTTGTTGGTACCACTGGAAGTTTGGTGTCAACTCAACCAAGTGCATGCAACCATGCGCCTGGCCTAAGCATAATTCTAAGACAGCGGGAAACGAGTAACCCCTTCCCAGGTCGCGACGAATGAGGAGGGGCGCCTAAACAGTCGCTTGTTTTATGTTAGAGACAGAAACTCTGGCTTGAATTTCTTGGTGGATACTGGCGCTGCTCTTAGCAGCATCCCTCAAAATAAAACTGAGCTGAGTCGAGAAACATCATCAATTACACTTCAAGCTGCAAATAAAACTAAAATCGCGACATTTGGGCAGAAAACTTTAACCCTAGATTAGGGGTTCAGGAGGCAATTCCCTTGGGTTTTCACGGTAGCCGACTTAGGTCTGGCAATACTGGGGATGGACTTTCTAGAGAGATACGAATTTCTAGTTGACACCAAGAAACGGCGATTAACACTAAAAGAAACTTCGTATTACACAAAAAGCAAAGAAAGTCACATCAGCTCTCTTAACTTGATTCAAACTCCCCCAGTAACAACAGCGAAATTTCAAGATATACTCGCGGAATTTCCAAACTTAACTAAACCAAACCCACAGCCTTCTAAGGACAAACCAAAAGTGAGTCACACTATCAAAACCGAAGGTGCACCGGTGTTTGCAAAACCCAGGAGACTAGCACCAGATAAGCTCAAAATCGCTAGGGTCGAGTTTGATTATATGCTACAATTGGGTATTATCCGTCCCTCTGATAGTCAATGGGCATCCCCTTTGCATATGGTCCCAAAGAAGAATGAAGGTGACTGGCGACCATACGGGGATTACAGAGCCATAAACCATCAAACCGTACCAGATAGGTACCCGATACCTCGTATCCAAGATTTCACCAACGGTTTACAGAGTATGAACATATTCACTAAAATTGACTTAGTCAGGGCATATCACAATATCCCGGTGGCTGATGAAGATATTCCCAAGACAGCTATTACTACACCCTCTGGCTTATTCGAGTTTGTACGCATGCCATTCGGCCTGAGAAATGCGGCACAGACATTTCAAAGATTCATAGATAACCTACTTCGAGATATGCCATTTGCGCAGGGGTATATAGACGACTTGTTAATTGCCAGCCCCGATTTGCAATCACACGAACAGCAT